TGACTCAAGCTGCTATAAACATTGATGTGGCTGCATCACCACAGAATGCTGATTTTAAGTCCTTTGGGTATATACCAAGGTTTGGGATAACTGAGTCAAATGGTGGTTCCATTCCAAGTTTTCTGAGGAATCTCCATTTCCAGAGTGGTTGCCCCAAGTTGCAGTCCTATCAGCGTACCTTTTCCCCAACATCCTTGCCTACATTTATTGTTACTTGTGTTCTTGATGATTGTCATTCTGAATGGAGTAAGATGGAATCACAGTGTAGTTTTAATTTCCATTACTCTAATTGGTACAAATGTTGAACATTTTTTCCTGTATTTTTTGATCATTTATATTTCTTCTTCTGTGAAGTGCTTGTTCAGTTCCTTTCCCCATTTATTGATTGGGTTATTTGGTATTTTTGGTGTTGAGTTTTTTGAGTTCTTTATATATTCTGGTATATATGCTATATATATATATTTATATATATTTTTTTGAGAGAGAGAGAGAATTTTTTTAATATTTATTTTTTACTTTTCGGAGGACACAACATCTTTGTTTGTATGTGGTGCTGAGGATTGAACCCGGGCCGCACGCATGCCAGGCATGCCGCTTGAGCCACATCCCCAGCCCTATATGCTGTATTTGAGGTGCAGGTGGCAAAGATTTTCTCCCATTCTGTAGGCTTTCCCTTTACATTATTGATTGTTTCCTTTGCTGTAAAGAAGCTTTTTAGTTTGAAATCATCCCATGTATTGAGTCTTGATTTTACTTCATGCGCTTTAAGAGTTTTGTTGAGGGAGATGATTCCTAAGCTGACACAATGGATTTGGACCTACATTTTCTTCTAGTAGGCACAGAGTCTCTGGTCCATTGCTTAGGTCCTTGTTCCACTTTGTGTTGATTTTTGTGCCAGGTGAAAGATAGGGTTCAATTTCTTTCTAATACATATTCATATTCAATACAGTTTTCCCAGCACCATTTGTTGAAGAGGCTATCTTTTCTCCAATGTATTTTTTTTTTTTTTTTGGAGAGGGGGTACTTGAAATTTAACTGAGAGGCACTCAACCACTGAGTACATTCCCAGCCCTATTTTATGTTTTATTTAGAGACAGTGTCTCACTGAGTTGCTCAGCTTTGCTGAGGCAGGATTTGAACTCATGATCCTCCTCTCTCAGCCTCCTGAATCACTGGGATTACAGGCATGCACCATTGTGCCCAGCCTCCTTAATGGCACCTTTGTATGGTATGAGATAACTGTATTTATATGGGTATGCCTATGTGTCTTCTATTCTATTCCATTGTTCTTCATGTCTGCTTTTGTGCCAATAACTGCCATTTTTATAGACGATAATCAGAAACTACTTTGAAAACTGTATTCCAATAAAATAGAAAATCATGAAACATTAAGAAATTTCTAGAGACATATGGCCTACCCAATTGAATCAGGAGAACATTCACAATTTTAAAAGATCAGTTTCAAGCAATGAAATTGAAGATATCGTCAAAGGCTTAACAATAAAGAAAAGCTTAGGACCAGATGGGTTCTCAGCCAAGTTCTATCAGACCTTCAAAGAAAAACTAACACTAATCCTCCTCAAATTATTCCACGAAATAGAAAAGGAGGGAACCTGTCCAAACTCATTCTATGAAGCTAGTATCGCCCTGATACCAAAACAAGACAAAGACACATCAAGGAAAGAAAACTTCAGATCAATAGCCCTCATGAAAATAGATGCAAAACTTCTTAATAAAATACTGGCAAGTCATTTACAAAAACACAAAAAAGATAGTTCATCACAATCAAATGGGGTTCTTTCCAGGGATGCAAGGTTGRTTCAACATTCAGAATAATCAATAAACATAATTCATCACATCAATTGACTTAAAGACAAGAATCACATGATTATCTCAATAGATGCAGAAAAAGCATTTGACAAAAATACAGCATCTATTCATCTTCAAAATACTAGAAAAACTAGGGATAGTAGGACTATACTTCCACATAGTAAAAGCTACCAATGCCAAGTCCAAGGTCAACGTCATTCTAAATGGAAAAAAAAAAATTGAAAGCATTCCCTCTAAAAACTGCAACAAGGAAGGGTGCCTCTTTGATCATTTCTATTCAACATAGTCCTGGAAACCTTAGTCTGAACAATTAGACAAAAGAAAGAAATTAAAGAGATATGAATAAGAGCTCAAATTATCCCTATATGCCAATGACATGATTCTTTATTTAGAAGAGCCAGAAAACTTCATCAAAAAGCTTCTAGGACTCATAAACAAATTCAGCAAAGTAGCAGGATATAAAATTAATACCCATAAATCAATTGCATTCCTATACACCAATGACGAATTAGCTGAAACAGAAATCAGGAAAAACTATCCCATTCACAGTAGCCTCAAAAAATAATAAAATTCTTGAGAATCGACCTAACAAAAGAAGTAAAAGACCTCTACAGTGAAAACTACCCAACAATATAGAAAGAAATTGAGGAAGACCTTAGAAGATGGAAAGATCTCCCATGTTCTTGGATAGGCAGAATGCATATTGTCAAAATGGCCATACTGTCAACAGCTCTATGTAGATTTAATGCAATTCCTATTAAATTTCCACTGACATTTTTCATAGAAATAGGAAAAGCCCGTCATGAAATTCATTTAGAAAAACAAGAGGCCCAGAATAGCCAAAGCAATCCTTATAGAGAAAAGTGATGAGGGAGGCATCATCAGACATTAAATACTACAGAGCTATAGTAACAAAAACGGCAGGGTTTTGGCACAAAAACAGACAGAAAGATTGTTTTTCGGCCTGCTGTTCTCTCCTTTCCTCCTGCTGAGGAAAGCAGCTTTGTGTTCTGCCTATGTGGAATTTGGCAAAAAGTATCTTCCAGGTCAAAGCAAAGACTGCTCAGAAGACAGGTTCCCTAGAAGAACATCAGATCTGTTCCTTCCTCCCTGTTCTTGTTTCTTCTTCCAGCCTTCTTCCTTCAACCATTCATTTTCTTGTGCTTCATTGTAAAATGGTACTTTTGATAGGATGGACATAAGGAAGAAGATGGGGAGGCAGGCAGGAGGGAAGGAAAGATGGAAAGAAGATGGGCAGGCTGGAGAGGTTGCTCAGTTGTTGGGGATGTACTCAATGGTAGAGCCCTTGCCTAATTTGAGCAAGGTCCTGGGTTTTATCTATCCCCAGGATGGGGGTTGGAAGGAGGAAGATTGGACTTTAAAACTATATTCCTTCCTGTACCAGGTGCTTCACAAATTGCAAAAATGGAATTGACATTAAAAGATTAGTTCACTTTGTTGCATTTCAGGATCTGGCAGAGGTAGGATTTGGGATTTTTGTATTTACTTTGGAGGAAAGCTACTTGTGGAGGGTCATAATGATATGACATTGTAGGGCGTGTGACTTGAGATGAACATAACAAACATATTCTAATCCAAGAGCAATTAGTTCTGTTGCCTTACTCAGATTAAATGAAAATAAAGTTCTGAAAGTTTAAGTACCTCAACAATACATTCTAGTTTTCTTGATTTGTTTATTGTGTTTATAGAAAGTTCAAGAAAAGTCACCTTTGACTTTTTAAGATACCCTGAGATTTCAGATGGTCTCTGTACAAAAGTGAGTTTATTTGCTTTTTTTTTTTTTTAATTTGAAGACTGAATTATGCCAATGAGCAAAACACATTTCACAAAGACACCTATCTTTCTGTCTATCTCCAGAATGCTCTCCTGGGGGCCACAGGTTACTTCAGAGTCCTTATAGAAATGTTCATTTTGACTCAATGCACCTCCAGCAGTCAGCTGCTCAAGAGATGATATGTGATCATTCCCTTTCTTCTGGATGGTATCGATTTCTCCTCTTTGACAGACCAGCTGAGATGCCAACTAAATGTGTTGAGGTACTTCAGTTCACACTTCTTATGTGCATTTTCATATAAGGATTGAGTCTTATTATTTACAGTTTATTTCCTATGCTGAAATGTTAGTTTAATTATTAGCTTGAGGTAATTTGAAGGCATAGYCTAGTGTAATGATAATAGTAATGGTAATGATGTTGTCCTCCATGCAGTCTGCAATATCTTATATAATTTTCATAACCCCAGGTTACAATCTACCAGTAAATATTTTGTTTTTCATCAAACTATTCAGGACACAGATATTCTCATGCATAATCCTTCTAGAGTCACCTAGTTAACAGTTTCCAGTTCAAAGCCAAGCTTTGAACATAGGCAGTCAGTCAGCCTACAGGACTCCTCTGCTTAACCACAGGTAACCTGCAAACAGTAAATTTTGTATGTTTTTGTGCTTTGGTTTGACTCCGCTGGCTTGAAATTAATAAGCTGACCACCTCCTATTTCAAACTGAAGAGAACCAGCTTGGCAGTGAAATCTCCAAGTATTTCCCAACCCAACATGCAGACAATGCATCTGCAGCAAATTGAATACACAGAGGCCTCTGGCCTCATCCCACTGTGACTTCTTCTATAAGCCCACAATTGGTGTGGCCAACTTATTTTCTTTTTATTCACTTACGAACAGACAAGCATATGTTTTTTAAGCACATCATGCTTAACTTTGTCAGATATGTTTAACTGTGTCATGAAGTTATTTTTAAAACTTTAAGTTTTTGAACTTTTTTTACATTCAGTCACACCAGATCTAATTTTCTGCAACTTTTCACAAAATTTACTGTTTTGAATGCACGATATGATTTTGATCCTGACGGTGTCTTGTTTAATTATCTAAGCAAAATGACTTACTTTACAAACTCGTTTTCTCCCAAAATGTCTCAAAGAATAAGCACAAGTAAAATAAACTCCAAAGGCAGGATGTCTTAGGTGTTTTTCAGTCAACTTTCAGTCCTTGTTATGATCTTCCTTGAATTTCCATTGAGAAGTTCAGTTAGTGTAAATTGTGATTTTCAAATGCAAGTTTCCCCTAATTTATCAGTAGTCTCCATTCAGTTGAAGATGCTATCATGACATAGACATCATCTCTACTTGTGACACTTTTGACCAGTTAGACTTGCAGTTGAACTTTCACTATTGCTATCACATTTTAACCAAATGATCTAAGGAATGTAAGTCTGAATCACTTAAAACTAAACTTATTTCCTCAATTTCCCAAGTTATAGGATCAAAATGGAAAGGAAGGATGTGAACCTGACATTTATTTTGCAGCTCATGCATTTCTTGCACTGGTGGACGTGATCACCTAGGTAACCTCACTTGATCTCCTACTGAGGCTTTGAGGTTACTTTTGTTACTTCATTTTAAAGATGTGCACACAGGCAGAGTCTGAATCACATAACTGAAGTCATTACCTGGGAGGAGGCTATACAATATGCAGTATCTCCCTCAGCATGAGCCCTTTCCCCAGTCACAAGCCTCCAACAGAGTCCAGGAATAAGCAAGTGTTCAGATGTGATAGGTAGCTAAGACAGACTCTGTAATTTTCAAGAAATGCATCCATGTCACACTTGTCAAGTTACTAAAGGTACTTTCATCACTCATGATTTTCCTATATGTAATCTCACTGCATTAGGTGTGATTTTATTCTTAAAGTTAAATTTTAGTTTGACCTAGAGGACATGAAGCTACTGTTTAACACTTGATGTGAGACCATGTCATTCAGGATGATGTCTCAGAAGAAGATTTGTTTTGCTTATCAGTATACACACTTTGCAAATTATGCAGAAGCAGAAATTATTTTTCTGTTTAAGCTSTAGTGTAAAAAGACCTCAGAAAAGACATTCATATTTTAAAGACATTCTATTTTGACTTGTGCCATTGTAGCCAAGTCTCTTTTCTCTTTTTTGCTTATTTGCTTGTCACTTTGTGACATTTAATTTACAAGTAGCTAAAAAGTCAGAATTTAAAAATAACCTTTAAGAAAATTGGATGAAATTCACTACATTCTTAAATATTTGTGCTCTTTTTCTTTGGCTGARCTGWTCATTTGTAGATTACAGAATCTCAYCCAACTGTAAAAACAAAATGGTTTTCCTGTGCCCTGTGGAGAAGAGTTCCTTGTCCCAACCTCTTATTCCCTTTTTGAACCAAGGATTTAGAGCATTCAAGTTAAGACTCAATCGTATTTTATTTTTCCTTACAGGAAAATATAAGTCTATTTAAATAAATTTCTATTTGTGAATTTAAAATAATACATGTGTATTCTAGAATGCTAAGGAAATAAAGAAAGGATAGAAATAGAACAGCGCTTATTCACAATCTATCAACACATTAATAACTATCATTAACATTTGCTTTTCTATTATATATATATTGTTTTGTAGGTTATGCTTTATGTTCAAATGTGTAACATACTTTTTCTTAGTTATAGCTATAGGATTAGTATGTTCCATTTATAAATTCTCTACATCAGTTTTAAAGCAATATTCTGTAATAAGAACATACTATATGCACTTATGTGATTGCCCTATATGTGCACATTGAGAATTTTGCCATAATAATTAATTCTACAATTTTAGCAAATGTACATATAATCTTGTTATCATTTTAGTATGTTTAGTAAGATTTATTTTTAAATGTAAGATTGGTGAAGACTAATGTCTTTTTGAGGCTTTGATATATACATTATTTAAAACATAATGTTGATGGGCATGGTGGTACAAGTCTGTAATCTCAGAGATCCAGGAGGCTGAGACAGGAGGATCACAAATTCAAAATCAGCCTCAACAACTTATTGAGGTCCTAAGCAACCTAGTGAGACCCTGTCTCAAGGTAATGAAAAGTGTTGGGGTAATGAAAAGCTTAGGGGTAAAGCAACCCTGGGTTAAACCCCCAGCACCTAAATAAAAAATATATAAATATATGAATAAAACATAATGCTAATTTTTAATTCCCACATAAGTAGATAGATATGCCTTTTCCAATACCAAATATTCTAATGCATTAGACATCTGTATTATTTTTTGTAAATTGTGWATTTATGGTCATAGAATTTTTAGATTACATTGCTTCATTTACACTTCACTATAGCACTTTGGATGGGAACTACTATCCCTTCATAAAAAAGAGAAGGACGTTGAGTGTCTTGTCCAAGGTCATGAGTTCAGTCAGTTCTTCCCAAATAATATACAGTTTCTTCTTATTTCTTCTTCATTAGTTTTCTATTTTTCCACCTGTGAGTAATTTATACAGTAGGCTTCATGTGAGCTTTTTGCTTCACTTTTTTTCTCAAATTACCAAATAGTTTGTCCCTGGTTAGATTTTGAACAATGTCTTCCTTCTCCTCTGATTTTTTTGCATCTTGAACTCTGCATCAGCTTCTTACATATAATATTCCCATCTATTTTGTAAGAAATTTCCAAGACCAATTTTTCTTTGTGAAGATTACTTCAGATTGATTTACCTTGTTTTAGAAAGTTCATCAAGCTATTTTAGGAAGTTATCTGACAAAGAATTTCTCTTTTTTTACAATAATGTAACAAATAGAATCAATATATTTGGTTCAAATTTACCATTAAAGCAGTAAATCAAAGTATTTGTAGTAAATTAATATTAATTTTTCTTGTGTCCTATAGGTACRACTGATTAATTTTAAATGATTGATAATTTAATATTTTAAATGTTGTYTAGAAGAAATGCAAAGTAATTGCTGTACCTGTATGAAAATAAATTGTATTTTCAATTCTTGTTTTCTCTGATGCAAAAGATGAACCACTGTGGAACTCAGGCCCCCATCTGGCTTTCTCTAAGAGATTCAGAAACACTGCCTTCTCCTGGGGAGATAAAGCAACTGACAGCTTGTGCCACGTGGCAGTTTTTGTTTAGCACTACAAAAGACTGCTGTCTCTTTCAAATCCCAGTGTCTGTACGAAACTGTGGGCAATTTTATGTGTACTTACTACAACCCACTCAGGGATGTATGGGCTATTGTGCAGAAGGTAAGAAAACAGCAGTAATACACATGAGCTGCTAATCATGGAACTGTGGGTGGGTGCATTTGTGCTTGTCTCTGGACGGGTGGTATGGAGCTATTGCAAATCGCAGTAACAGACTTGTCTGCCGTTTTCACAAAACTGAATCTAAATTTGGTGTTTACTTTGGCCAGGTTCATTTAGGATTCTTGGCCAAGATGTTAAAGTGCTCAAAACTATATACTGATGTGGAAGTATCAAAGGAGGCTCCTGACCTTATTCCCCCTGCACATAATTATTGAGTGTGTTAAAAATTCATTGATTTTCTTGCACTCTTCCCCTTTTTAATTAAAGGATGGAGGATGCTGAGTTATTAAAATCTGGATTTTATCTCATTTTAWCTTTCTCTCACCAATAGTTATTGACTGTTTATCCAGTTCCAGCAAGTATTTTAGGCCTTAAGGTCACAGTGCTGAATAAGACAAATGAAATCTTTGTCCTCATGAAACTTATATTCTGCTGAAATCCCTCGGACAATATATAAAAATAAAATGGGTATATCTTAAAGAATAAAAAGAATAGCCATTCACTATATTAATTAATATCCACTTACTATAAATATTCATTTATTGTACAAGTATATGATTARAGAAATAAATATAGGAAAGAAGACACAGCTTTCTTAAAGAAGAATTGTGAATAATAATTTTAGCTTTTATTCTACTTAGAAGATGGAGCTTGTTTATTCTCATTTTAACTGTGGGACAGACTTTGTGACTTGCTTGCAAATAATAGTGTATGGAAAGGAAAAAAATCATAATTTTACAGTGAAGACACTTGGCAGGTCCTACATTTGATCAAAGTCAACATAAGTAGTGATAAAGCATGTGGATATCATGTATCTCCTGATAACAGTCATTAAAAGGGTACGACTCTTTTTTGGTCTTCTTCCCCCAAATCCATACACCAAGTCTAATCATGAGAAAATTTATGTAAACTCACATTAAAGAACAGTCTACAGAACACCTGAATAGTATGTTTTTAAAATGTCAAAATTATGAGACACCAAGAACAAGTGAGAAACTGTCATAAATTAGAAAAAAACATGACATATAATTTAATATGATATCCTGGATTGGACACTGGAACAGAAAGGGCAATCAGTAGGAATCTTCAGTTTATTTAAGAGGCTAAACCTAAAGTCAACTTCTTAGCTTTGATAAATGTATCATGGTTTTGTAATATGTTAACATTTGCAGAACATAGATAAGGGATGTATAGAAAAGCTCTAGGTTACTTTTTTWAAAAAAATAAAATATTTAATTTTTAGTTGTAGTTGGACATAATTTGTTTTATTTATTTATTTTTATGTGGTGCTGAGGATTGAACCCAGGGCCTCTCACGTGCTAGGCAAGTGCTCTACTGCTGAGCCACAACCTTASCCACTCTAGGTTACTTTTTAAAGTGTTCTGTTTTGTGAGATTCTAAAGTTATTCTAAACTAAAACATTGATCAAAAAACAAAAATAAAACTATTTTGGAAATTAGTATGGTATAAAATAAAGAAAACTGGTGCATGCAATAGGAATGGGTTGGCATAGGGATGCTATAATAAAGGATACCTGTGGAAATCTCTGAACAGCTGATGAGCTTGGGCTGACATCTGAATGAGGCAAATGGCAGTCAAGAAAAAATATGGAGGTAAAGCATTCTCAGTAGAAAGAACAGCAAATGTAAATGTCCTCAGCTGGGTATGAAGATAGAACTGATGGAGGAAATCTGGCCACGAATAGAGCAAGTGGATTGTCTTAGGAGATGAGGTCAGAGAAGCAAGAAGGTGGTGGTAAATGTAGGGTCTTCAGTTCATGGTAAAAACTTAGATTGAGTCATAACTACAGTGTAAAATCTTAGGGACTTTTAAAAAGGTGAGTAATACACTCTTGGGATTGAATTTAAAATGACATTACTCCTGCAGAAAGATGCCTGTAGGCTGTTGCATTCATTCCATAGAGAAATGGTGGTGTCTTAAAGGGGACAGGGGTGGAAATTCTTAGACTAGGTGTCATTTTCAGACAGACCTGGTGAACTAGATATGGGAGAAGGAAAGAGAGGAATCAAAGACAGTAAGTATCTAGGATTTTTGCTTGAGTTACTGAGGCTGGGGTGTAAATATTAGATTGTGAAGAGAGGGTAATCAAGTTCTATTTGGTCTGTTATCCAAGAGGAGACATGACAGTCACAGATGAAGAATTCACCCCAGACTCATGAGTCTGACTCTGACCATGATGTTCACTAAGGATGTTGKGAAATAGAGACCGTTTTTGGAGTGCCCAGAACATACTAATGTAAAGCTCACCAACGATAATTGAGCTTAATGAAACACTGTTTCATTTTTCTCTCTACTCAATTATGACTTAGGAACTCTTCCAAAAGAGATAATGTGTCCTTTACATCAGGATGTCATGACTTGGTATTTTGAATAAAAAGAGATTCAACAAATGATAACAGTATTTAATAGAACTAGTGGCATAACCCTTCAGATGCAAGAAGCTCAAAACAGAAAGACATCATTTTTTTTGGCTTAGATTGGTTAGACAGTGATGAAGCTGATAAATTGGGGATTTATCCTGTACTCTCTCTAGAAGGATGGATGTTCTCATGTATCACTGATTTGGAAAAGAAACTAACCTGCAGTGTGTTATCTGGGCCCAACCATATCACATGTGGGAGACTGAAAATGCTGGGAGATACTATTGCAGATCAGAGTATTCAACTTATGTAAACATTTGATTCAGCAAATAGTATTTAATTATGTCAGTAACACAACACATAAATATTTTAGAGTCCACAAACTARCAAACCCTAAATAACATACATGCAGCAAAACAAATAAAATAGTTATTCAAGTATTAGAGTAGTTAAAATAAACCCTTATTTTGAGTTTTAATAACCAAATTAGCCATACTAAATGTCCAATCTCAAAAATCATTTTACTGGACTGGGAATATAGCTCAGCTGGTAGAGTGCTCGCCTAGCATGCACTAAGGCCCTGGGTTCAACCCCTGGTCCCACAAAAAAATCATTTTACTCATTATAGATATAGAATATGAACCAGTATTATTAGGAAAAAGAGTTTCTTTAAAGTTTCTATCTTCTTTAAMCTCATGAAAAACTATTTCTTAATGCCAGCATGAAGAGTTTTCTTAAGTATTTATTTGTATTGGCAGTGCAAAAATAACAGTTTTAATATTTTGCAGGTTTGTAACTCTTTTTTTCCATAAACAATGTCAAACATCCCAGTTTTCCATTATATTTTCACAGTCATATTATTTTCAAAATTTCTTGTGAATATATCATCACTAGTCAAAACTTCTAAGGAAATAAGGCATTATTGTCTACACAAGAATAGAGATTGATTTATGAAGATAATGCTAGAGAAATATATTCTTATTTTGTTTTGGGGAATACATGAAAAATTTTAGTAAATGAAATAATTTATATTTATTTTGTCATTAATTTCCCACAGTGGTCCCTGACTTCACAGCACAAAATATTTGTGCAGTTAGTAATTGCTATAAGTAGCATGAATGGAAAGATTAAAATTTGCTGTAGAAATGGAGGTAAGGGGAGAATGTAATTTGCAATRCCATGTCACTAGAGAAAGCCTTTCCTGGTGAAATGGCATTGGTGCTGAGAGCTGGAGGGTAAACAGTTCGTGGTCAAAGTGTAAGGGGAAAATCATGCCAAACAGCAATCACAGCAAGTGACAGGTCCTAAAGCAGTAAGTGTGCTGTGCACAGACTGATAGCAGGACAGAGATGTTGGATCCAGTAAGTGCGGCAGAGCACAGACCTGTATGAAAGGGCAGCAAGGCCTGATCATTGAGGGACCTCTGCATTTTGTTCTGCCACATTGGAATTAAAAGCAAGATCCAACTATAGGCTATCTAGAGAAATACTTCATATATAAAGAAAAATGGGTTTAAAGGTATAAGGATTGGGACTGGGGTTGTAGCTCAGTGGCACCTTGTACCTGTGAGGCACTGGGTTAGATCCTCAGCACCATATAAAAATAAATTAATAAAATAAAGGTATTGTGTTCATCTACAACTAAAAATAAATTTTAAATAAAAGATATAAGGATAAAAGATGTACTTAAGTAACACTAATCACAATAAATCTAGAGTAGYTATATTAATATTAGACAATGTAGATTACAGGCCAAAGAATATTACCAGGGAAAAGAAGGGTCATTTCCTAAGGATAAAATGATCAATTCAACAAGAGGACATACAGTTCCATTGTATGATGATGATGCACCTAATGACAGATTCTAAATATGTGAAGCAAAACTGATGATTTTATAAACAGAAATGGGCAAATCTATAATTATTATTGGAAATTAACATTCATCTGCCAATAATTGATTGAGCATATAAAAACAGAAACAGCAAAAATGGAGATTAGAACAACTCTGTCAATTAACTTGATAGAAATGACATTTAAAGAAGACTTCATTCACACAAACATTCTTTACAAATGGATATGAAGTATTTGGCATATAAAACAAATTCTGAGCTCTAAATTAGAAAAGAAAATTAGAGAAAATTAGAATACTAGGAAAATTTGAAGCTAATTAGTGTTAAAACCCACTAAACATCTATAATGAAAGACAAGAAGAGTCATAAATTCAGTATCTGTTTATATAATAAGAGACTAAAAAGCATAAGTGAGACTCAGAGCAAAAAGGTGAAAGGGAATGATCAAAATAGAAAGCAATGAGATACAATAAAGAAAATGCAATAAAATCAAAGGATGGATCTTTTGAGAAGTTCAATAAAATTAACAATTCTCTGGCCAGTCTGATCAGTAAAGAAAGATGATATTGGGACTGGGGATATAGCTCAGTGATAAAGCCTAGCATGTACAAAGTCCTGGGTTCAATTTCAGCACTATACATGCACATCCTATTACCACTACCACCACCAACATCAACAACAACAACTACAACAAACACAGTACCATGAATAAGAGAGGTGATTAAACTACAAATTCTACAACTAAAAAAGAATTATTATGAACTACTTTGTGCCAGTACATTTGACAACTTAGATGAAAAAGACAAATTTTTTAAAATATGCTGACAGTCAAAAGCCATTTAAAAATAAACTTATAACCTTAATGGTCTTACATCTATTAAATAAATTATATTTCTAAGGGCTGGGGTTGTGACTCCATGATAGAGTGCTTGCCTAGCATGTGTGAGGCACTGGGTTTGATCCTCAGCACTACACTAAATAAATAGATAGATAGATAGATAGATAGATAGATAGATATAGATAGATAGATAGATAAAGGTATTGTGTCAATTTACAAGTAAAAAATAAATATTAAAAAAATAAATTAGGGCTGGGATTGTGGCTCAGTGGTAGAGCGCTCGCCTTGCATGTATGAGACCCTGGGTTCAACTCTCAGCACCACATAAAAATACGTAAGTGAAATAAAAGATATTATGTCCAACTACAACTAAAAAATAAATATTTTTTWAAAAAAGAAATTATATTTCTAGTTAAAATTCATCCCACAAAGATGAATTGGCCCAGATGGTTGTCATCGGGAATTTTGTAAACATTTAAGGAAGAAATAATACCAATTTTGCATAAACTCTTCTGCATAAAAGAAAAGGAGCTACTTCTGAACTTCTGTGAAGACAACATACTCTAAAACTTAAACCAAACATAGATATACAAGAACAGGAAACTCTAGAACAATAACCTCATGAATATAAATGCAGATGAAATGATCATCCATTTTCAAAAAACTCCAATGGAATCTATAAAATAGCTACCAGAGGTGAGTTTAACAATGTTGAAGGAAAAAAGATCAACACATGAAAATCATTTGCATTTTTTTATAATAGCAATGAATATTCAGAAATTTCATCTAACTTACCAATTATAAACCAAAAATCATGAAACACTTTGGAATCAATCTGACAAAAGATGCACAAGACTTGTATAGGGAAAGCTATAAAACTTTGCTGAGAAACATAAAAGCCTAAGTTAATGAAGAGAGAAACTATTATGGATTGAAAGACTCGATGTTAATGTGCTAGTTCTTTACAAACTAATTTGTAGTTCCAGAATGTTCCTAATAAATATGTCAATAATTTTTCTTGTGGAAATTGACAAATTCATTCTAAAATTCAAATGGCAACACAAAATAACTGTAATACTCAAAACTAGTTTGGTAAGGTAATAAGTTGAACAACTTATACTACCTGACTTTCAAACTGATTCCAAAATAATAATAATGTAGACAGTGTATATTTACAGCAGGATAAACAGGTAGATGAATGAAAAAGAATAATATCCAGAAAAGAGCAACACAKTTACTTGATATTCAATACAGGAACATAACCAATTCTACAAAGGAAGAATTGCATTTTCAACACAAGCAAAAATATGATTGTATGCGAGAAACTTAGTTCACATTTCTTATCAAAATACAAAAAGAAATTACAATTATCATAGACAAAACCGTAAAAGCTAAAAATATAAATCTTCCAGGGAATATTTTCACTTTCAGATGAAAATACTTGTAATCTTAGGTTAAGCAAATATTTCTAAAATACAAAACTAACATTGTTAGCTACAAAAACCATAAATTGAACAATTATGAATAAAGTTGCTGTAAATATCCTGCTCAAGTTTTTGTGTAAAAATAAGTTTTTAACCCTCTGGGAAAATGCCAAGAAGCACAATTGCTGTATTAATATAAGAATATACTTAGTTATACATCAAACTATCAAACTCTTTCAAAGTTACCATACCATTTTGTATGTCCAACCAGTAATGTGTGAGAATTCACATCCTCATCAGTGAGTTTCATTACTTAATAATGAAGATTCAAATTTAGAAAACAAGATACAAAATTATGACTGTTTTGAAATATAATTCCTTACTTCCATTTGATCTTTGGGGAAAAATTTTTATTATGAAAAAAAATAAACCCAGAGAGAACAACTAAGAAAATCTGTCTTAGTCATTAAAACATACTTCTCCAAGGAATTGTCATCTTAGCTATATGTAGATTTATACCTTTATGCCCAGTTAAATATAAAACCTTAACTTTTTGCAGCTATTTCTGATGCAAAATTACACACATGTGGACCAGAAGAAATAGAAATYGGAGGGGATTGTGTTGGTGAGTATAAAATTTTGTGTTTAATAATGTATTTATAAACTATTTTTAAAAGTACTTATGTTTTGGGACTTTAAATGTTGAATATACTAACATTTGACAATGCCACAGTCTGGTACATATCAAATATAAAAAGCACTTTATTGTGCTTTTAAGATACATTCCTAGAGTTGGCAGAAGTACAAAGAATTAAGGAAACAAAATGTTGGTAGAATTTTTTTATGAGAAAAGTTGGTAATTTATCTCAACACTTTTAAAAATCTACATGTGTTTGTGCTTCAATTTTTACTTCAAAAAATCTATCTTCAAGATCTATTCAAAGACATGTGCATGCCCAGTATTTATAAGAGGCCTTTTTTCTAATAATGGTAAAATAAAGATGCAAATATATAATAACCATTGATTGGCTAAAAATTTCTGATGTGCAGGCAATTACAAGAGATTCTGCAAACACCATGAAAATGTAGAGGTGTGTTCTTTGACATTAGTAAATATTTATGATATATTGTAGCTAAGAAATCACATTATGCAGTATAATCTGCAGTACAATTTTGTCTTCTGTGCTTGGAATGGAACCATCATTTGACCCAGTTAAGGACTTAAAATCAGCATATTACAGTGATGCAGCCACATTCATGTTTATAGCAGCTCAAGTCACAGTAGCTAAGCTATGGAACCAACCTAGGTACTCTTCAATAGATAAAGAAAATGTGGTATATAAACACAATGAAATAATGCTCAGCCTTAAAAAGAATGGCTTTATGACTTTTGCAGGTAAATGGATGGAACTGGAGACTATCATGCTAAGTGAAATAAGCCAATCCCCAAAAACCAAAGGCCGAATGTTCTCTCTGATATGTGGATGCTAACACACAATAAGTGGGGGAGGATAGAAGTTCATTCAATTAGACAAAGGGGAATGAAGGAAAGAGAGAGATGGGAAGAGGAAAGATGGTAGAATGAATTGGACATAACTTTCCTATGTCTATATATGAATACACGACCAGTGTAACTCCACATCATGTACAACCACAAGAATGGTTATAATAAGTTATATTTATTAGAATAAGTTAAACTTCATATATGTATAATGTATTAAAATACACTCTACTGTCATGTATACCTAAGAAGAATTTTTAAAAATTTTGTTTTCTGGGAAGATTGCATTTGTGACAAACAAGTTTTGAAAGTTAAACACCAAAGGTATTACTGGTAGTCAATATTTTTCTACTCCATTCAGTCCATATTTTTTCTTTGCTATTTTTGCTTAATGTTTTAAATTTATTTTAAATATTAAGAAATTGCGTACTTATAATATTTTTAAAATAAATTACTCTAAAATAGTCCAAATAACAAAATATATGACATATGCCTACAAGATGGGCAAAAATTAAAACATTTGTTCAAACATTAGCCTTTTCATGGGACCTCTAGTCAAATTAGTGAGATAAAGTTGACATATAATTACTATTTCTAACAAAGGTGATTTATATGGTGAAAAAAAAATCATAATGAGATCAAATAAATCAGGATAGATATAATGKTCAAAGTGCTAGGTCTAAAAATTAATTTGCTTTGTCTTTTAAAAATCTGTTATGTCCTGTGCATGTATGAACATGTAACAACAAATCCCACCAACAAGTATAATTATAATGCACCAATAAAAAAATTAAAAAATAAATAAGTAAACAAAAAAGTTATTAAATAAAGCACTAAATTGGTGTTCCAGGGACTGTTCCAATTGCAAATAGATTTTCCTCCTTTTCTGATATTCTCTAAATAAATTGTTATTATGAAAAGCTGTTTAATTAGGTCCTCTGATGTAAATTCATAAAAGAATAAAGCAATATGCCTTAGTAGCAGTAAGCATCAAGTATAATAATTTGGCTAATCTGCATAGTAGGTATGGATTTTCTTTATGTTGTACTTACAGTAAAACACTTTTCTTCCTTCAGTAAAAATAATTTTCAGCAAGTTGTTGTGCTATTCAAAATGTTTATGCAACTAATTGGGAAATATATACTATACAAAATTGTATATAACTTGGGGAAGTAACACAAGAGTGAAAATATTTAACATAAGTTTGCTGACTTGGCTTATGTTTGAAATGTTTCTCAAAATATTTGTTAATTAATTTGAAAACAATTTATTTATCATTGAAACTTTGGAATAGGATACCTAACAAAATATGATATCTAACAAATATCTGAAAGTATATTTTCTCTAGAGAAGAGACCTTAAAAGAAGGACTCTTGGAATTTTCTAAAATCTAAATGACAGAGTTGAAAGACTGGTTTTTGTGGTTGTCATAAAATTATAACATATATATAACAAAAATTATTTGCACATTTCAGAGTAGTTTTAAAACCTATTTTAGAATTTATTACTCAGAAAAATAAAACAAAATTTATCACTCAAATATTTTTTTAAAAAAACAAAACAAAAACCTTTCAGATCCTCCAATTTAATTTTGCAAATACCCAKAATTAAAATATAAATATATACTCTTCATACAAGTTCTTAGAAAAAAATTTCAAATATTAGCCTCATAAAAGTGAAAAGAATAAGACTATTGTTTAGCACTTGATATATTTCACTGATGGTACAATCACTCCCCAGTGAACAGCTCTTTCAACCTAAAGCGATGAAGAGTTGCTTTATGAGAGTACATTATAAGAGTAAAAAAGAAAGTCATTTAAGTTTACATTAGTGACTACTTTATAACAAGGAATTATAATGTATTAAGCCTGAACTATGTTTGTTATGTCTTTTAAAAAAGATGATTGACTAAAAGATTGTAAATTACTTTTATTTTCAGGAGCCAGACTTTTCGGGAGCAAACATTTAAAATGCAATAATATAAGCTTGATGATTTAAGGTGCCCTGCTGTCAATCAATACTTATGTGATTGTTTGTCAATGTGAACGTGCTGCTTTGTTGACTACTAGAAAATAATCATTTACTGAATTTATTTCCTTTTTTAAAGATAAATCCTGAAGTTATAGCCTTTTTGTGATTATTTCATTCTTCAAGATGCTCAAGTAGAAATGATGCTTCTTCTCCCACCAGGTCAGCTGTCGGCCTCATTTCCACCTCCACCTCCAGGAAGGCCAGAGGTTGTGGTGGAGCTGATTGAGTCCAGGCTCTTCTGTAGGTGTGCTTTTGATGTTTCCCCTACAAACAGCTCGGTGGGATTTCTCATAGCTTGGTCTAGGCTTTCTTCTCAAGAAATCAAAGAGGAGCTGAAACAGGAGACCACAGTTCAGGCATTTTCTCTTTTAGAACTTGATGGCATAAATCTCAGACTTGGAGACAGGGTATGTTAACAAAAACTGGATTTGATTTTTTTTTTCATTAATGTATTAATTGTTCAAACAATATTAATTGTGTGTGTATATATATATATATATATATATATATATATAKAGAGAGAGAGAGAGAGAGAGAGAGAGAGAGAGAGAAAGAGAGTAGATTCTTGTCCCCAGAATAGAAAACACTAAAACACTAAGGCTTTCCTTCTTTTTTTTCCTTTAGCAATTGTGCCAATTCTAGTGATATCTAGATGACTCAGTAACTTAGTCTTAGTGACTACATATGAATATCTTTTTTAGCAACATGCTGATTATTATCAAAGAGTCTCTGTAACTGTATGTATTTTCTGGGTTTTAAAATTATATTCTAATATTTTAGAAAACAATGCTTTAATTTTTTCAATGATGATATTATGTTTATCTACTTTCAAATACATCTTAAGTGAAAAGGCTACGTGACACTTTATGTTGAGATTTGAATGAGTAATATTTTATAATGATGAATTTTTTTTAAATTTCAGGCAAGTAATTAAATTACTTAGTTCTTTTATCTGCTGTGCACTATCTACCAAGAATTAAATTAAAAATTTAAAGATAATAATAACACATTTTTTCTTTTTTTTTTTTTTTTACTAAATGGTTATTTGTTAACTGTATTTATAGATATTCTGTAGTGCATCCATCTTTTTCTTGGAGAAACCACATATACAAAGTTTAGCCATCGAAAGCCAGGAATTTTTTGCAGGCATTAAGGTATGTAGCAGAAGGGATGAATCAGAAAGATTGTTTTTCTGGAACTAATTCCCCACAGTGTGATCTTTTCATAAAGGTTTCTGGCTGAATCTGAAAGGTAAGACTCAGTACTCTGTATTTTTGAGAAATAACTCCAACAATTCTAATGCACAACAGAATTTGAGAGTCCCTGTTAATGAACTAAGGTTGATATGTACAGATGCTCTTCAACTTACAATGGTATTACCTTCCAAGGAACTCATCACAAGTTGAGAAAAATGTTAAGTCAAAAATGCATTTAATACAGCTAACCTGCCTAATGTCATAGCTTAGCAACATAGTAAATTGTAGGGTATTAGTTGCTTTCCCTCATGATTACATTGGTGACTGTGAGTTGTGACTCACTGCCACTGCAGAGCACAGGCATATTGCTAGCCTGGGAAAAGAACAAAACTCAAAATTCAATGTGTGGTTTCTATCTAATGTGTGTCACTTTTGAACCAAYGTAGTGAACATATCCTAAGTTGAACTATCATAATTCAAGCGCTTGTGGATTTACCTTTAAAGAAATAGCTCTAAATGACTAAAAAAAAAAAAAATAAAAATTTAAAAAAAGAAATAGCTCTAATGAAAGTTTAGGCTGTATCCCCATAATTCAGTCTGTCATTTAACTAAAAATTAACATATCAATATTTAKTTATTGTGCATTTTTGAAGTCAGGTACCAGGCCAAGACTGAGAGCTCTAGTCTTTATGGATTGCAGTGATTGAGCTAATTTAACAATGCAGTATATTTAATTATTGCTGGTAGCACTAGGGTCTAACAGGTGAGCAGAGGTGACAGGAAATCAGAAGTGGTGGAAGGCATGGAGCAATATCAAGAGGTCCAAGCAGGCAAGAACCATGCATCTGGAGGTCTCCTCACTCACAGAACTAGAATTTGCAGTCACTCTAAGTTTGAAGACAAGTTGGAAAAAGATAGATTGTGAGAACAATACTCAGGACCAGAATAAATAAACTTTCTAGATAAAGTTCATGTTACACAGCAGGCACCAGGAAAAGAAGACTGAACCACATCCTCAGAATAGCCTACCCATAGTGGGAGGGGAAGGACACAGACTTAGGACAGGATGCTTGTGATCTGCTTGGTAACACCCAGCAGACAAGGTCAAGGCCCAGTGGTTAGCCTCTAGTACTGTTTCAAATTAGGCTAACAGAATAGTCAATACTAAAGCACGTCTCTTTTGAGAGCTAATCAAATTCCCCAACTCAAAAAAAAAAAAATTGACCTGTGAATTGGATTAGGGTGCAATAGTATTCAGTAAGTCTACTTGTAGAAAGTCTAACTGTAGAAAGCAGAAACTCATAAATATCCTGAGAGTTGAGATGTTTCAGGTGACACCAATCATTTGATCTACCTATAAAATATAACTAAATTCTGATTAAGATGCTGAGTATAAATCCTAAAAATAACCAAACTTACAATGGAATAAGAGCAAACAAGTTTAAGAAAATGGAATTCTGTTTTTYCTCTATTCTACAGTGCCCATCACAGACAAGCTTAGACATGACTTATCCAACCATGGGTTGGAGAATCAAAATGTCATCTAACCCAGTGGTACAACAGCTCTGTGTATTCCTCTGCATGCTGCTTATGTTTTAATTGGTTTGGTCTAAATTGATTTTATTTAGTTAAAAAAAATTCCAGTGCTTAAGTTATTACCAGCTCATTTAGCAAAAGAAAAGCTGTTAAGAAAATGTGTTTTTAAAATTATATTTTAAAACAAATTCTATTTTAACCTAACATTCTATATATTGCTATACCAGCTACAACCTGAATTGAGTACTATATCAGAAGATGGGAAAGAATACCAGCTGAGGATAGAGAGTACAATTCCTATTGTTTGTTCTGAATTTAGTGAGCTTGATCAAGAATGCAAAATCTCATTAAAGCTGAAAACTGTTGATCAAGGTAATATACCAAATTCATTTGATTTTGTTATTAGATTTCAAATGGTAACTGATGCTTTTTCTCCTCTAGGAAAAGTCCCTGTAATATACTCATCTACTAAATTTTAYTGCATGTTTACATCAAATTATAGCTGAATCATATTAATAATGCTGGATCAAATTGATGATTGCCAAAGCAAATCCTGTTTATTCTTCTTGGGATCAAAGGATATGTTTAAAATAATAGTGAACAATCTCCTCTTTGTAGTCATCTTCCTGTACTCTTTCTTCTTTTTCATCCTTCTCCTTCTAATTTTCATTCTGCTTCTCATTCTCTTACTTGTTCCTTTCTTTGCTTTATTTTCAGAGATTGAAGGACAAACTGTTCTTTTAAGATTTTCCAAATCATCCTCAATGAGGGAGGTGTGATAAGTTATACTAAAAGTTCAGGTTATGGGGCTGGGGATGTGGCTCAAGCGGTAGCACGCTCGCCTGGCATGCGTGCGGCCCAGGTTCGATCCTCAGCACCACATACMAACAAAGTTTGTTGTGTCCCCTGAATACTAAAAAATAAATATTTAAAAAAAAATTAAAAAAAATAAAAGTTCAGGTTATGAAACACGGATCTCATAACACATGCTTCAYACTTCTTAATGTAAGATAAGTTTGTGGATCTTTAAATTCTTCCATCTAAATTGCTAATTCTGCAAATGTCATATTGCAAGGTCGCATACACTTCACTGTGACAGCCATATAAAGAGAATGGAAATCCACTCGTAGTGTTGACAAGATGGAATATCAGAGGAGAAACCATGAAGAGCAGTGGTTGGGTTGATTGAGTTCTCTTCCCCCTTAAGTCTCTGATCAAATCAAGTAAGAGATATATAGACCTAACCTATAAGAGAGATTACAGTTCTGTTCACATACCACATGCTATTTTATCCAGCTTTTCACTGCTATAACTGAAAGACTGACAAGAACAATTTTAGAGGAGGAAAAGTTTTTRGGGAGGCTCATGTTTTCAGGRGTCTCACTTACTAGGYGGCTGGCCCCATTGTTCTGGACCCAAAATGGGCAGAACATCATGGAAGAAGGGCATGGCAGAGGAAAGCAGGTCAGGACCTGGCCACCAAGAACAGAAAGAAGGGGACTTCCTCTCACCTAGGACAAATGTCTACCTCAGAAGCATGTTCCAATGACTCTCCTCCTTCAGACACACCTTACCTGCCTACAATGACCACCCAATTGACTTTTCTCAGGATATTAATGCACTAATTAGGTTGGAACTAGCATAACATAATTATTGCACCTCTAAATTCTTTTTATACCAGGGATTGAACCCAGGRGTGCTCAAATACTGAGCTACATCTCCAACTCTTTTTTTCATTTTATATTTTGAGACAGGGTCTCTCAAGGTTGCTTAGGGTCTCACCAAGATGCTGAGGCTGGCTTTGAACTTGAAATCGTCCTGCCTCAGCTTCCTGAGCAGCTGGGATTACAGGCATGTGCCACCTTGCCTGGCTTCTACCTTTAAACTTTCTTATACATGAGTTTTTGGGAGACAGCTAATATCTAAACCATAATATATACCTTTTATAGTACAAAAGTACAATGCATACTTTTGTAGGTCTTAATGTCCATGTTCAAAAGGATAAAAAGGCCACACAGTATAACGGGGTCAGAGACAATCTCATGAGAATGGTGATCCAAGAAAAAATAAGGGTAAGGAGATAGAGAAATTAAGAGATGTCTTCCTAAGATATTTGACAGTTAAAAAGGCTTGATTAATGCCCAGCTACTAACCCAGATTTAAGGAGCACCATGAGCAACATTATATTTTAATACAGCCTTAGAAATATGGAATAATGACCTTTTGCTCAGACATTTAGACATAGTTCTACTTCAACTTACCTTTTGAATACATAATAGGAAAATGTTACTACAATTTATGGTCAAAATAGAAAGGATACAATGCTATTGTTGTTTTTCAAAATTGTATTGAGCAAAGATTTCCTTCACTTAAAAGAATATCTTTAAATATATTTGCATGCTCTCAAATCTTTCAGTGAAGCGGGCATCGCCAGTGTAAAGATAGCATTAAATAAACTTCCTACATGGTAGAAGTTTGTGTGTTCTTATTCTTTGTTAGTTAAAAATTCTTCCTGCCCCTCTTCTCTGTCTCTTTTTCTGTCTTTTCGGTCTTTTTCCTAGTGGAAAATTTCTGGATTTCATTTTGGATATTCCTCTTCTTAGATATTTAAGTGTATTTCTTTTAAATATCTACTTTCATAGGGAATATGTTGGTGTCTCAGTGAATTTCTACATAGACAGTGTTGCTTTTACTCAGGCTTAAGAGAAGGATGTTCAGCCCTCATATCATAAACTAGGCAGGTGAGATCATTGGCAGTGACCACCATTGGTCATTGTATTCAAGTCCCAAATACCCCATATTCACCTTAGGAATCCAGTTAAGAGTTTGGGTATTTCCATTGTGTTTTTATGTGTATGAGAAAAGTTTATATTTCTAGGAAAAGCACATAAAAGAAATTTTTCCTGAATTTTGACTCCAATGCAGTGTACCTGTACCTAACCATTATAATTCCATTCCTGAATAATTTGTGTGGGAGAAAATATAAGAGTTTTTAAGTTATTTCTTCCTCCTTCATTCCTAGAAGGACTTTATGATMATTAATTATATATAAAAAATACTACCTTTTGCCAGTTTTGAGGGGGAAATCCTTTTGTTTTTGGTCTAGTTATACAAATTTTTTATTCTTTGCTACCATTTCCTTTTTAAATTCGTTTCTTGGGCTACAGCTGTAGTTCAGTGTTAGAGTGCTTGTCTAGCACATGTGAAGCAACGGGTTCAATCTTCAGCCCCACATAAAAATAAATAAATTAAAGTATWAAAAAATCTTTTTATAKTCTTTGTTACCTAGATGAGGGAGTTTGTGAATGTATTGGCACATTTGAGAGGCGAAGGGAGATAGTTTACTACGGGTGTGGGGTTGGCTTTTCATTTGTGTTGACTTTACTCTTTCTTAAGATGATGAACCCTATATAAATAATTAAATCCATTACTATAATTTCCAGTGTATGAGACATGAAGAAATGCCCTAAAATTTATTATAGAACAATCTGGACATGGGGTGCAGTTGTTAGTTAGAAAAAGAAATCAAATTATGAGTCTTGCTACTAGAATTATGACTTTTTTAAAGGAAAGACAACTTTTGCTTATTGCTTTTTAAAATTGTGTTAGACAGTTTTTAGCACATAATAATTGCACATGTACAGTGTACATTGTACATATACTTGAAGTATACATACATGTACTTCAAAACATGTAAATAAMATATATTGATCAAATCAAAGTTATTAATATCTTCATCTCTATCATTACTTTGTTATTTATTGTTTTTAAATTTTATCTGGGAACATATGGATTGGTAACTTGGTTGAAAGTAAATAGTAATGTATATGTATGYACAAATATATGTATATTTTCAAGTTTATCAATTATCTGTAAAAATCAGGTAGATTCAATAACTTTTTTTTTTCTTATTCTAACTAGGATCCCAATCTTGTGGTTATACATGATATGGAGATTCATTGTGGAATATTCATAGATGTACATAGGAAAGTTGTGTCAGATTCATTCCACTGTATTTCCAATTTGTTTTAACTTAGATGAAAATTTCAAAAAATAATTTTTTAAGAAAGAGAAAATGCTTTAAGAGTAATCACTTTATTTAATGTTTCATATGTTTATACTGTTGGGAAAATTATCAACTTTTTWTTATTAAATAGGTAAAGAACACCTTGGCGTAAACTTGGCACTGTCTTCCTGCAATGTGGACCTCCACCAGACAACATCCTGTGCCAACGGCACCTGTGGCCAAGCTTCCCTGTATTACACCGCTGTCTCAGATTTTTCCCAAGATGGAGACAGAGTTACAAACATTGTTGTAGAACCTATAGTGAATAAGGATTTCCTGTGGAACAACTATATTCCAGACAGCATCCAGGTTGACAAATTTAAAATAATCTTTATAATTTAAACTTAAAATGATATGTGTATTTTATCACTGTATCTTGTAAATTTTAATTTTAGAATTATTTGATAATTATGAGTTTTAAATTATTTCATTTTCAATATGTAAGACAAGAATTAATGAAAAATCCATTGCAGTTGTGATGAATAATTGTCACTGAATACCAATAATAATTTTATCAAAAATATCTTTGTTTTTAAGATCAGAGTCAAGGATGTCCCAACAGCTTACTGCTATTCATTTACTGATCCACATATAATTACCTTTGATGGCAGGTAATTTCCTAAAAGTCTTTTCTTTTAAAGATTGTTGTTTGTTTTGGTTTCACTGTTGTTTTGTTTTAACCAGCATTCTGTTTGATCATTTCTTAGTCCTGTTCACTGGAAAATTAGAAAAGAAAGTCATGTTTTGCCATCACTGATTTRTTTGAAGACACTAATTTATTTGTATAGAATTTTTTTCTTAAGTCTATTGTGTTATAGTTGTTAGCCTTAATTTGTAGAAATGAAGTTTATGAYAAATGGAAGTTATCATTTTGTTTGCCATGTATTTGTTTTTAATAATTTCATTATTTGCATCAGAGATGTTTACTATGATATTTATTGTGATATACTGTTTTGTATTTATATATAATGAAAATAACTAACACACTAGAATTTTTAAAGAACAAATCAGCTTTAATTTATAATGAGAATACTCATGGAAAAAATAATTACAACTTCATAAAAGCCTGAATATTTAACTCTAGAATTTAAGTAAACTGAGCAAGATGACCAAAAAGAAATATAATCTAAGTCACACTGCTATTAATATCTGCATAGCAAAATTAAGCTCAGTGATACTATTCTGAGGGATATCATATTCTTAAGGAAAATGATACTGTATTGTTGATTCAAAATTCTCATCCTGATGCATGGTAATTTTTTCTTTTAATTTTTAAAAACTGTAATGTGATCATTTCCAGTAWAGTCACTCAATATGAAAAATAGACATAGAATCCTTCAGTAAAATGATACTCCACAGATCTGAGCARGAATTGAGAAATTGTTGGAACTTATTATCTCATGCAAGATTTTCTTCTATGGTTATAATTGAAATCTTTAGAATTTTGGTGGAAAAAAAAACTCAAGAAATGGTGATGTATTTAATCTGACTTAATTCAACAAGTTTAATTGTGCAGCAGTTTGGTGACAAGCCATGTTCTAAGTGCTGGGGGATGTGACAGTGAACGAGAGAATATCATTCCCTCATAGAGCTGACCTCTGAACAGAGGAAAAGAGATATTAACACAATCAGTTAATAAAGTATGTAGTGTGTCTGAGGAAGAAACATGCCATGAAGAAAACTAAATCAGGTGAAAAGGGAAGGCTGCAATTAGGGTTAGTTATTTATATTAAATAGACTTGTTATGGAAAGCCATTTTGATGGTAATGTGAACAAATTCTTGAAGACCAGAGACAGCAAGTGCATKCCACTTGGAAGGCCTCCCTCCTCTAGGAGCGAAGCCTCTCTGGGGTTAAGAAAGGGAAGAAAAGAGTAGTGAGAGAGAAGCAAGTGTTTCATTCAGTGCATCCAAACAAATGCTCATGACCCAAAAAGGTGCTGGGAATCTTGATTTCTCATTCTAACATCAAAATATATGGAAAGCCTGTAAATGAATGTAATACATAGTTAGTTTATAACATATTATTGTGATGTTTTATAACCAACTCTTAATGCAGTTCACTTTTGTTAATGATAGGGTATATGATAATTTCAAGACTGGAACATTTGTGCTTTATAAGAGTACAACACGTGATTTTGAAGTCCATGTGCGTCAATGGGACTGCGGAAGCCTGMACTACCCTGTGTCATGTAACTGTGGGTTTGTGGCCAAAGAAGGAGGAGATATCGTTACTTTCGATATGTGCAGTGGTCAGCTACATGAATTACGACCATATTTATTTGTAAAGAGCCAAGATGCATCCAGCAATATCAAGATAAGTGAATCTTATTTAGGACGAAAAGTCACAGTATGTATGATTTTGTACTATTAAAAATAGTTTCCCTTTTTCTCATTTTGAATAAACTATACATCTCTGTTAAATTAGGAGCTATCATATTTTTATTTTATTTTTTTAGTTGGAGATGGACACAATATCTTTGTTTTATTTACTTATTTTTGTATGTGGTGCTGAGGATTGAACCCAGTGCCTCACGCATGTGAGATGAGTACTCTGCCACTGAGCTACAACCCCAGCCCAGGAGCTATCATTTTTAAATATTGGTTTGCTATCAAGAAGATATGCTATCAAGAAGATAGCATTTGGATTAATTATGATCTCAGAATGAATGTTTTTGCACCTACCACGCACAAGTAAAGATAATTTAAAACACTGTCAACTTAAATTGACTTATTTAACATTTCAGTATCACAATTTTTGCATTATTCATAGAAACTGTTTTTACAGTATCCATTAAATGGCATATTAGATGACAGACATAATTAAAAATAAATAATTAGTAGTTAACCAACTTTTCAAGTGAATTGAACATGTTACTGTTTTAGGAATGGGCTGGTAGATAAGTGGAAAAGAATAGAAATCAGGAAACATTCTCAATATTATATATATTCACCATCACTTTTTAAAGATCATATTTCATGTCTGTGAGCTAACAATTTGTATCTTAAGGTCGTGTTCATTTTCCTTTCATATTTCCATATAATAAATTCCAGGTAAGTATAATTCAAATTTAAATAAAAGTGTTTGTAAATATGTTCTTATGATATTTATTGAAGTGAACAATAACTTTTAAGATAACATTATATATTTTATTCCATCATCAAAAACCAAAATGCAAATAAAGAATTTGGGAAAATATTTGCTATATATAATCAGTTATATAAAAAAATATATCTCTAAGGTATACTCACCAGTCTATTGAGCAAATATTACAAAATGGTAATTCAAAAAGAACATTAACATTTCCAAAAGTACTAGTAACCAACAAAGATATAACAATGTTAAGAACATTAGTCCTCAAATAAAAAAATGCTGATCAAACATCTCTCAAAAAATATTGTCAAGAGTAGTGATGGAATGGGAGTTCATAACCCACTTGATTCTAATGTATGAAATATGATATGCCAAGAGCTTTATAATGTTGTGAACAACCAATAATTTTTAAAAAAAGACAAAAAAAAGAGTAGTGATGGTAGAAACAATCTTTCTGGAGGGTATATATATATATATATATATATATATATATATATATATATATATTAATACAGTCTGAACTTCTTTGTGTAGTTATTTTACAAATATTTTGCTTCCGGAAATTGATTGCAATAAAATAATCAAGGATGCACATAACCCCAGTGCTTTTCCTTGTATCTCCTCTGCTAAGAGGGAAACCATACAATTAATCGGTTCAATGAGAGGGTTCAGAAATATGAATTCTGTGACATTCAGTCTTGACACTCTGGCACCACTGCTGGAACCCCAACTCCTATAGCCTGGGGGTGTATGCAAAGACGCACTGAACCTAAGCAGGGTGCAGCAGCAGAAGCAGAGGGTGGCCACTTTGTTGAAGGAGCTCTAGACCTCATGGATGATGTGAAGCATGAGGGTGACCAGAACCACAAGGCTGGTGTGAACTAGGAAGGCAGTGGGAACCATGATGGTCATGTGAACCATGAGGGCAAAGGTGGCCACTGGGAGCCCGGGTGGCAGCAGCTGGAGGAGCTGGTGGTTCCACAGCCCCTGTGCATGGAACCACAAATCCAGCTTGTCACTTTACACTGTGGCAGCTGCAGGGACTGGAAAGCTGTTTCCAAGAAACTCCATATTGATGTCTCACAAGCTGTATTTGCTATTGTACAAAGGTTTGCTCCTGATTCTATCAAAACCATTAGTCTCCCTGGAAATATTTGAACCTGATAGGTTTTGAATACAGTTCCACAAAACTTCCTATACTTAGAAGCCTCCAGTAAGCTTCTCCAGTATGACATCTTGCATCTTTCTATGCCAATAACTCATGTATGAGCAGATGTATGAGCAGGAGCACAGGGAGCCACAGCTGAAGCTGCAGGCAGGGGATCACCTGCAGCAGAGAGTGCCTGCTAGCTAGTGACCATTAACATCATCCCTCTGCCACTCAGGTGCCCATGCAAGTCCTTAACCTCTGAGTTCCTGTTTAGTGGGCTTCCAAAGAATCTGAAGGATTCCTCTCACACAGGACACATCTCATGGTGACTAACTCCCTTGGCTTTTGATTTATTTGGTATGGTGGTTTGAGTGTATGTATCCCTCCAAAATTCCTGTTGAAATTTGGACTTCATTGCAACAGTACTGAGAGGACCAGGAAGTCCAACCTCATGGATGGGATGTGTACCTTTAGATAAGAAGACTTGTCTGTATGCACAAAACCCTAGAACAACCCCACACAGACGTCCATTTATTAAGCATGATGTGCTGGTGTACATCTGTAGTCTTAGCTACTCAGGATTACTGAAACAGGAGGATCACATGTTTAAGGCCAACCTGAGCAATTTAACTTATCCCTGTCTCAAAGTAAAAGGGGCTGGGGATACAGCTCAGGGGTGTATCATGTGAGAGGCTCTAGGTTCAATCACCAGTGCCACAACAACAACAAAAGGCTTGTAATAGTCAACCTTTTGTCCCTTCCACCATGTGAAGACACAGCAAAAATGTACATCTACAAAGGAGAAAGTTAGCTCTCTCCACACATGAATCTCCTGACACCTTGACCTTGAGCTTGCCAGCCTCCAGAAATTCAAGAAATCAATTTTTGTTGTTAATAAATTACTCAGCTTAAAGTATTTTGTTATAGCAGCATGAAGGGACCTAGGCATCTTGGAATGCCTTATTTCTTCTTCTGTGGGAAGGATACATATGCTGGCCATAGGATTCTTGGTTGATAGGTTTTGTCCTTTATCACTTGAGAATATATCAACCCACTACCTTCTGAGTTCCTAGATTTCTAATGAGAAGTCTCATAAGGACCTTATAGGGAAATTATGATGAAATCCCCCTACCTCTGAGCCCCATAAGTTTAATAAAGTCCCTGTGGTGTCTTAGGGAACAGAGCATTCTGTCATAGTACCACAACCCGAGTAAAGTGCTACCATCCTTTTAATATCAGTCATTCAGAGTTGAAAGAGGAATTGAATACATTAATTGTGAATATGAGAAGGTTCTGAAGAACCAAAAATCATTATAGATTTTTAGATTCCAACTGAAAAAGCCATTGAACCCCCCTCCATATTTTAATTTCTAAACAAAAAAAAATATCATTCTCCATAACCTGATATTATGCTGTGGATATAAGGTATCCCCCAAAAGCTTATGTGTGAGAAAATGCAGAAATATTCAGAGGTTAAATGATTATATTATCAGAGCTGTTACCTAATCGGTGGATTAATCCATTTGATAGATTAATTATTTGAAAGGACTACTGTACTTGATAGCTATAGGCAGGAAGGGTATGGCTGGAGGAAGTAGGTCACTGGGAGCTTCCTTTGGGGTTTAGTATTTTTGTCTTGGCGCCTTGCTCTCTCTGCTTCCCAGCTGCCATGCCCTGAGCAGCCCCATGGTGGGACTGCAGCCTGTCAGCCTGTACCAAAGACAACATTCAGGACAGACCAAAAGCAGATGATTAGGTGGATTTCCGCTTGTATCCTATGAATATGCTGTTGCGTGCCACGTTGCTGTTGGCTGTCCCAAAACACACACCCTGAATTCAGGAACAAAGTGGCTCCAATGAAAGTGGACAGTTGAGTCAGACAAAAAACAAAAGGGACAGATCCCACAGGATCTCACTTATGTGGAACAGCTGCAGGAGGGAGATGTGCAGACTGCTTCAGGCTTGTCCATATCATTCCAGTCACAGGGGCATCTGGAGATGAAGGGAACCCCTCTGCCTCCACCTGTTCCCCTCTCTCCTGTTCTTTTCTGTTCTTTCTCCCATGTTTCTGCGGAAGTAGGAGTGGTTCTTAATAAATTTGTTTCTTACAAATCTTAAACTAAAATTAATGCTCCAAGAAAAAAAAAGTGTTTAACTAAAACTCTACAATGATGTACACAATAAAACACATTGTAGTCATGAAAACGACAGAGTAGGCTATGCTTACAGACAGGCAAAGACATTCATGAAATATAGAAAAGACTTTTGAAGAATTTGCACCAAGATCTTAGCATTAGCCGTTAACATCCTCCCTCTGCCACTTGGGTAGAAATATAAATTTTGTTTGTGTTTAAAATCATTTTGTGTAATGAATGAATACTAGTTTTGTAAAAAGAAAAGCTCATTTTAGATTTAAAAAAAACTAAAAGGGGAACAAGGATCAGCGAAGCAAACACCGATGGATGTTATACCTTTGTTGACTCTTAGAAGAGATAGTTTTTCCTCATGTACATCCAAGTGACTGGTCTGGGATAGGTGCTATTCCTGTAACAGAGAGAGGTGCTCACAGTTAGATGACACAGGCTATTAGTCATTCAATAAATACCTCTTGTTCTGATTGCCAACTCCCCACGCAATCCATGGTTTTAATGTGGTTTCTATTTGCCAGCTTGTGGCAAGAGAATGCTGATTGGCCACAGGAATATCCACTCCTTCAGAATTATATTAATCTGTGTAAATTAATTATTTGTGAGTCTAATTCCATATTAAATAACTATTATCAGAAGCATAACTTGGTTGGCCAAGGTCATAGCTCAGTTGTAGAACAGTTGCAAGTCCCTGGTTTCAATCCCCAGCACCAAAAAAAAAAAAAAAAAAAAGGAAAAAAATAAGTAAATAAACATTACTATTATTTGGTAAATGTTGTCTTTAAGTTTTATAACTGGGCTGGGGATGTGACTCAAGCGGTAGCGCACTCGCCTGGCGTGCGTGCGGCCCGGGTTCGATCCTCAGCACCACATACAAATAAAGATGTTGAGTCCGCCGAAAACTAAAAAATAAATATTAAAAAATTTCTCTCTCTCTCTCTCTCTTTAAAAAAAAGATTTATAACTGTTTTCATTATATATCACATTTTGGTTTAAATTGTTTAAGGAAAGAAGTCACAAATAATATATATCAATAAAAATCAGTAGGTGTTCATATTCTAAATCAGAAAAAAATGCAAAAATGTATTATTTTAAAATAAAGCAATAAAAAAGAAGTTGTCCCCTGGGGGGGGGGGAATAAAAAAGACCAACCTGGAACAGTTTACTTATTTTTTCCCTGAGGACCACACTGAGGATATCCACTAAGAGTTTGTCCTCTAGTATTTTATTCTGTTTATATGGGAGAAGTGCCTGAGTTTGCTTCTTTTTTCTTAAATAACACTTTTTTTAATCTATATTGAATATGGCTTTTACACCTTCTGTTTATATGTTGGTTTCAGATTTCATTTTCTTCTGGAGCATTTATTCGTGCTGACTTGAGTGAATGGGGCATGAGTTTAACCGTTAGAGCATCTAGTTCAGATTACAAAAACACTTTAGGACTCTGTGGAACCTTTGATGAGAACCCAGAAAATGATTTCCATGATAAAAATGGGATCAAAATTGATCAACATTTTAATAATTGTGCTGCTTTTATTAACGAATGGAGGTAAGAAACTAATTTTCATTTGTGATTGTGTTAATATTAGACTTAAATGTGAAGAGTCTCTGACTTTGGCAGCACATTCCTGGGAAAAATGTTCTGGTTCAAATAACTTTCATTTTCTGTTTTTAATCTGGAAGGATTTTACCCGGGAGAAGCATGTTTGACAAGATGCCAATTTCTCAGACTTTGCCTGCAAAACTATCCTATTGTAGCTGCTCATTGGATACCGCCTCCAGGTACCCGTTTTCTAATCATCTGGATGGTTTTCCTCAACCAGAAATTGCTTCAGGTTGCAAAGACCTCAAACATGTCAGATTCTCTTCTTTGATACCAGAACTAGATGTCACCTCTGAATACATTAATTCAGAAGCTCTGGTTGGGAGGATAAACAAGCATACATCTAGAGAAGAAAATAATTTGAATTTCTTACTGCAAGGAAAGAAGTACATAGACCTCACCAAACGGGACGTACATTTACAATATCCTGGCAATGAAAAACAAGATGCACCAAAATATTCAGACAACGAGAAACATAAGCAGGACCAGGGTCGCCACAGCCAACAAATGAGGTGGAATCCACAAAACAGATGGAAACGGCAACATTTCAATGAGTTTCCTCCTTTGTTTGCTTTCCAGAGTCTCAGCCCGACCAACCTGGAACAGTTTACTTATTTTTTCCCTGAGGACCACTCTGAGGACATCCACCAAGAGTTTGTCCCCCAGTGGCCCACACCCTCTGGCCTTACCCAGGACAGCAGCCTGAAACTCTGTCAGCGCACGCTAGCCAACTCCAGCATAGGCAGGCTCTGTTTTGACTTTCTCGGTAAAAGACTAGACCATGCTGTAGATATGTGTGTTAAGGACATTCTGTTGAAAGATGATGTTAGCTGGGCAGAAGCAGGTGTGGCCCTTCTAGAAAATGAATGCGAAAAGAGGATTTTGGAAGAGGAGAAATATAACACAAAAGAACATGGCAAGTCAATTGAAGGCATTCTCTTGGTATTAAAATGTCCCAATTTATGCAGCGGCAATGGGCAGTGTATGGATTGGGGGTGTGCATGTCTCCCAGGCTTCAGCTCCTATGATTGCAGTGATTGGTATGGTAAGTAAACACTCTTAAACGTTAATATTGTGCAGGAAATTTGATTATGAAAATATATTTGTTCTTTTTTGACTTAATTATCTTAAGGCTTATGAAGATCGTGTAGTGATAAAAGACACAAATTAAAATGATTAATACGTTAATGATTTTCCCCAAAGTGTTTCCTTTCATTCAGAGAAAAGTTGAAGTTCTTGTAATTACTTGTAAGGCACACCATGATCTGGCACACAGAGTCCTTTCAGACTCATCTCCTGCAACTGTCACCCTCTCACCATCCCACTACAGCTACTTTGGTCTCTGCTGTTTTTGAAATGCCAGGTTTACCCTGTCTCCTGGCCTTTGCTTGCAACTAACTGGTCCTTCTACCTGATTAGAATAATCGTTTTCCTAGGACTCAAATTTAACATGTTTTAAGGACTGTGTTTATATTATCTTGTTAATCATGCTCGTTTGTTATATAGTGTAAACTATTCTGTCTCAAAATGTTAAAGAAAGAAAATTTTTTAAATGTTGACTTGGTTTATTTAAGCAGTAAACCAGTAATTCTTGATTTCCCTCCCACAACCACCATCCTTCCCTTTCCATTTACAGTCTCTCCTATTGCAGTAAATGCAAAAACTTCACTCTGATGGCCCAAGTTAAAAACTTGCAGGTGTTGACTTTTCTGTTTCTCCCATGCCTCAAGTTTAACTCCATAGCAGCAAGTCCAGTTCTAGCTTCAAAGCATTTCATTTCTTTCCTTGCTATAGCCTTGGTCCAAACCACCACTGTCTCTCACCTGGATCATCATAGATTCTCTCCAAGCTTATTTTCTATGCAGCAGAAGCCAAAGTGACCCCTTTGAAATGTAAGTCAGATCACATTGCTTCTCTGCTTAAATCCTTCAAATGGCTTGCCCTATTTTTCAGAATAAAATCCACAACTCTTTACATGGACCTCAGATAATCTGAGGCTCCCCCTCACTCTCAGTTCATTAACCGATCTTCCCCAAGTTCACTGCTCTTCCGCCACATTGGCTGCTTTGTTGTTCTTACAGATCTGCTCCTACCTCAGGGCCTTTGTACTTACTGCTCTCTTATTGGAGCATTTTTTCACCACACAACTTCACGACTAACCTTTTTCATTTCTCTGCTCAAGTGTCATATTATCAGAAAATCCATCATGGTCATTCAGAATAAAGAATAAAGTATTTTTCACAAAACCTCATAATCAAATCTTAAAACATTAATGACAGCACTGGTAGCAATATAATGACATTGTTGACATTGTTGTAGGTTTAATGGTAGGTAGCATCACATTTAATACCAGAATGCTCTTAACATTTAATGGTTTAATTAATGTAAATAGTATTTGGGGTGTACTTTGAAGTATTATTTTACACATGCTTTTCATTTGGGCTTTGAGGCATAATTATGTAGTTTTTTTTCCGGAATTAAAAAAACATGTTCTATTTGTTATAATTGTTCTCCAAAGACAAAGTTCCTGAAATCACAGAGCTTGAGAATGCTGGATTCTGTGATGTTCAAAAGCATAATTGTACGATGGTGAGAGTTTTTGGTCAAGGCTTCAAAGAATCACCTTCCATTAACTGTGAAGTTACTAAACTGCAGGTATGTTAATTACAGATTTTCTGAGAAATTATGGAAAATAATTTATAAATTATTCAGATTAATTCTGTATTGAATTAATGAATTCAGTCGGCCACATAATCCCAAAGGACGTTAGGTCCACAGAGAGTGAAGGAAGATGATTTAAGTTGCTTAACCTTGAAAACTTCCACATTTGTAAGCTTATTTGAAGTATTTTATATTATTTTTACTGAGGTATAGACCACTGTTTTCATTCATAATAAAAAAAGTAAAAGACGATCAAGCTTGAAATACTGAGGCATCTTTATATTTTAAATTGCAACACCACAAATAGTGGAGATGGATTTTAGCCAAGACATCCTGCATGAACTGTAAAATCCAGGGACATGAATGTTTCCCTTCTATAAAACAAAAAACAAGGGCTAATTATACTCATCCTTTGTATTCCTTTACTATGGATTTCAGATTGGAAAGTACCACCCTCCCCCACATTAGCATGTTTTTTCCTTGAAGTAAGCATTTTTCTTTCTTACATGACGTGAATCCCAGTTTGAACATTAGCATAGCAAATTATACCTTATTTTTGATGATTTCTAATATGACCTTCCTTTTCTTTATTCAAGTAGAAGTTTTATTTTATGGACAGCTCTTTGAATTAAGAAAGGTTTTATGTGCATAAGCTGAAAGTTAAAGTAGTGAAATAGTAAATAGTACTTTAACATTCTTCTTTCTTTTTCTCTAAGTTGATAAATCCAGATGTGGTTCTGAGATTGAGACTTTACAAGAGGAAATAATCTTTGCATGTTTTTTTGTCATAGGGTTCTGAATAACAAATATGCTTCTTTCATGATTTTAATGATAGAGTCTTTCTAAATTAGTTGCAAATTATTCTAATTCCAATGAAATAGCAAAACACACAATAGACAGATATATACGTAATTTCAACATCACCCAAGAGAGTCCATATGCTTTTGGTCTTGATAGAGTAAATTATATGACATCATGCTATAATTAAATGATTTACCAGAAGAGAATTTTATAGATTTCTATTCTCTTGGAAGTTAAATTTTGTATTTATTTTCAGCCACTTACTGGTTGTGATTTACTCTCACACTGCTTCCCTCTTCCAAAATCGTGGAATTTTTAACATACTTTGCAGAACTATAGAAATAAATCAATGTGCTTAATTACTAAAACCAAGATGAGAATGTGCATCAAGTATTTATATATATTATTACAGTGTATTATTACAGCCGTCTTCCCTGGCCCTGGTCTTGCCCAGTGCTGGGTTCTGGCTTTTGCACCATTTGTTTCACTCCTTGAGTCAAGTCTAATTGACACTATTTTAAGACTCCCCACCCCACTGCTTGGGACCTTCAGGAGGCCTTGTGCTTGGTTTGTTTGGAATGTATGTGTTTTTCCACTACCTTTCTTGTACCTGGTCAGTGAACATGAATGTATTTCTGCTCACTTTTTTAGTTGGAATTTCAGTTCCCTTTGAAGATGGGTTTCTCTTAAAAATCTAGATTTCTGAAACTAAAATTACAAGAAACCCTTCATTTCTTTCCATTTTATCAAGTACTGTTTTAAAACATGTATTTTGGAATAATTTGAACCTTGCAGAGAAGCTGTAAAAATAATACAGAGGGGTTCCCAATGATTTTTCACCCTGCTTCTTCCTGTATCTTCATCTTACACATCCATAAAACTGTTATGGAAACCAAAAAATTCAACTTGGTACAATAAAATTAAATAATTTACAGGCCTTATTTAAATTTTTCCAGGCATCCAATCTGATTCTGCAACCAATCCAAGATTTCATATTGCATTTTGTTGTCATGTCTCTTCAATCTTCTTCAAATTGTGAGAGTATGTAGTTTGTCTTTCATGAATATGGCATTTTTGAAGAGTGCTTGCCAGTTATTTTGTAAAATGTTTCTTTCTTAAGATAGATAGAGGTTACATCATTCTTCCTTCATCTTTTCATGATCAGTATTTGTAATTACTGGTGATGTAAATTTTAATTACATATTTAAGGTGGCATTTCCATTAATCTCCACTGTAGATTTCCTGTATTTCCTTTTGTAATTAATATGCTATAAGAAGACACTTATAGACAATGCTAATATGATTTCTTCTTATATTTTGTCTCCCTGATTTTAGCATTCAACTATAATTTTTGCTTGCAACAGTCATTACTGTGGTATTTACCAATGGCAATTTCTATTTCCATCATTTCTTCTACATATATTTATTATCTGAAATTGTACTGAAAGGGAAAGCTTTTCCTTGTTTCATATTTGTTCATTCATTTATTCATATCAGATGGACTAAGATAATTGTTTTATGAAGAATACTTATTTTATCTTATTTGATGCTATTATTTTTGCTTGCTGCTTAAATTATCCCAGATTTGAACATTGGGAGCTCTTTCAAGTAGATTCTCATGTCCCTTTACTATGCACTCATAATTTATTGTATAATTTCTCACATTCTCATCACACAATACTGCGGACTCATCTTGCATTTTCTCTACTCCAACCATAGAATCAACCATTTCTCAAAAGAACTCTGTTCTATCTATTAAATAATGTTACTTAAAAACCATGATTTGATGATTTGGGTGCAAAGTGTGCTCATCATCGAAGACTAGTTATTGATTCCTGTCCCTCTCAATGGATGAAGCTAGGAAATACATGTTTATCTTCTCACACATACATCCCTATCCCTATCCCTATCTATCTATCTCTCATCTTCATGAGCTGATTCTGATACCTCTGATTGCAATGCATGAGGTTCATTTCAGCCTTCTCTTGTCCTTTTACTCCTTCTTCACTAGTAAAAACTAGTTCTTGTTATTTGTATAGCATGTTTTATCAATTTTAATATATGCAAATCAATTTTAGAAATTATAAACCAGGCCTCCGTGAAAAAGAAATTTGCAAAATGAGATCACAATTTACACGCAAATATTATTTACCTAGTGACTTGTGTTGGCTGTTTTCTTTCCCTCTCTTTTCAGAGTGGTCATATGTTTCTTTTGCAACAAAACTGTGGTTTATTTTAGGTATAAATTATTTAGGGGTGTGTGAAATGTGGTTCTGAAAACTGGCTCTATACAAAAGGTACACACAGAGAACTGTCACTTTCTTCTCATCCCTAGTACCAGCTTGCTATTACCCTTTATTTCCTTCCTGTTTTCTTGCATGGCCTGAAATATTTACATCCACAGCCATTATTTCCTGGTTTACCCTTAATGTGTTTTTTTTTTTTGACATAAAGGAACAGACAGCATACCTCCTTTTTTTTCATACACAAAGCATTGTATATTATAAATGCCATTTTTAAATTTTTAGTAGTAATTTTTAAAAAATTTCTTTGTTTATTCTAATTTGTTATATTTGACAGCAGAATGCATTTCAATTCGTAGTACACATATAGAGCACAACTTTTTATTTCTCTGGTTGTACACAAAATAGAATCACACCATTCATGTCTTCATACATGTACTTAGATTTATGATGTTCATCTCATTCCACCAACATTCTTATCCCTTACCCCCCCCCGTTCCCCTCCCTCCCCTTTGCCCTATTCAAAGTTCCTCCATTCCTCCCATGCTCCCTTCCCACATTATAGATCAGCATCCACATATCAGATAAAACATTTGGTCTTTGGTTTTAGGGGATTGGCTTACTTCACTTAACATGATATTCTCCAAGTCCATTCATTTACCTACATATGCCATGATTTTATTCTCTTTTAATGCTGAGAAATATTCCAATGTGTATATATACCCAGTAGTAATTTTTAACAAATGCTTAGCTAGAAATCCAGTTACCCAATCATATCCTTCACTCTTCCCCCTAAAAGCAGAATCCAGTTTTTAAATTGCTGACTTGTAGGATTAAATCCAAGTTGTTATCCTATAAACATGTGGGCCGTTAGGAGGCAGTTCTTGCCCGTTTTAGCAGGCTTGACCTTCCTCTCCATGCTTTATTCCAGTTCCGTGCAGACATGAATTTTCACACAATGTTTTCTCCAGCCATCTTAAATCATACTCTATGTCTGCTTCCAGCATCCACATGTCAGTCTCCTTTTTACTTCAGGAGGAGAAGTATAATCCCCCACACTTTGTTTTAAACCTTGCTTGACAGATTTAGATTTAATGGCTTATTTCTTATTATACCTTATTTGAATCTCGGTTATAGTGATAATAAAATTATCTATGTCTTTTCCTTTGATCTCTTCATCAGAATATCTTCAGCACATAATAGATAATCAGAAACTATTGGTGAGTAGAAAAGAAGTAGAACCCTGTTTATTCCTTACTTGGTGCAGACCTTTCCTCAGAGGGATGGAAATTATCCCTACATCCCCAGTCATTGGCTGGAATCTATTTCCACACAAGAAACCAAGGGACCCTATATCCTCTAAGAGTAGGTATCATGACAACTTAGACATTCTTATTATCCTTCTGCTAGAGGAAAATCACTGGCAGAAATGCTATACACATCCATAAATATGCAGTTTTGTACTATGGGTCACTCTGTCAGCTATATGTCTTCAAAATAGTTTCTGGGAGCCATAGACAAGAGTGTTCTAGTCCTCCTTTTCTTTTCCTGCAAACCCACGATAGTGAAGCAGCTGCATATTGCATGGCTGATTCAGAATGGTTGGAAACATTCTACAATAAGAATTCTTTTACGAAAGTATAAATCTTGGCAACAAAATATCATTCTAGTTTTCTGTGTAGTTATCAGTACTCAGAAAATTATTCTTGCTTTTTCTCCCTAGATAGCAATGCATTTTCAATGGTGAAAATGAATACTTAAAGTGTAGTTTAAGCATGAGATAAGCTATTAAATGGGATGAACTGGCTAAAATTTTACTTTCAAATTACATCAACAAGCTTTAGCAAAATAATACTGATTATGAAGATGGTACATTTTTTACAGAATTAAGGAAAAGGATGTAGCTGAATTATCAGAAAAAAAAAACTTGAAGTTGGGACTTGGACAACATGAAGACTTAGCATGTGCACATTTGGATATGTGTGTAGCTGTTTGTCTCCGTTCTCCTATTCTTTGATTCCCTCTCCACCCCATTTTATTATATACTGGATTTCTCCACATACAGAAAAACATGATCATCAACAAGTCTTGAATCTCAAGTCATCAGAGACAGGGGGCAGAAAGGGCAGTTTCAAATAGATGGAGAAGGTGGGTACTTTTGCAGAGGAAATGAGGGTGTTTCTGGAAAGAAAAACCATCTGTTGCCTCAAGTACAATGTCAAATGATAATTTTTCTTGCTGCAAAAGTTATTGCAGAGTGACCCATAACATGTGGCCAATATTGGTAAATCCTTTGATTTGAACTACCAGAAAATTCATGATTTCCTAGGAAAACTTTACATCAAAATAAGATGCATATTTTCTTATCATTCTGAATAAAACTCACTTCCAATGTGACTTTTTTTCCTTACTATACATTCCATTATACTAGGATTATATTTTAAAATTTGTATTTCAATCGTATGAAATTCAGTACTGGAATATTTTCATAATCGTAACAGAAGTTAACTGTTTTCCCATTTTGCCTTCAGTATAATAGTAGTAAATGGGTGCTTGGAGAACCTGTCTATACACGGGCAGTTTTTCAAAACAGCAGAACTGTTGATTGTCAGCTGCCCAGTGATGTCCAGCAGTCTGATACCATGGATGTGATGGATCAGAAACCAATTATGAAGTGGCAATTAAAGGTAAAAAAAATTAAAGGTAAAAGATAACTATAAGTTAAACCTCATGTTTATAAGCCAAGCAAATTCTTATATATAGATTTTCATAATGAATTTATGAGGCTGCATTTAGAACAAATTATCTTATTATAGAACTACATCTTACAGGTATCTAATGATGGTTATAAATTCAGTAATTCCAAAACAATGATCATATATGATGGTACTTGTCAAGTTTGTGGTCTCTACAAAAATAACTCATGTACTATAAAGGTATGTATCTTTTCACTTATTTTCACATTTACATCATAGGTATTTTAATTTCCCATGCCATTGGCATATCAACTGTGTTTTTTTTTCACCTTAATAACAGAAATACTAATAGAGAAAAACCTTCCTTAAATGCACCTAACRTTAATTGAAATGTTTGCTCTTCTTATAACTCTTGTTGAAATGGTGAGAAAGATGTTTCTTCCTTAACATTTTGGAGTGCAGATTGCTTATTCCTAAAAAAATCAAAAAGGAGGTTTGCACTGAATTATTTCCTCCTTTCTACATTCACTGTTTTCTCAGTATTAATTAGTTTCCAAAAGATGTCTCTTTATGGTCCAGTACAGGGGAATATGCCTCTAATTCTAGAAACTCAAGAGGCTGAAGCCAGAGGATTATAAATTCCAGACTTACACTCTGTCTGAAAATGAAATATAAAAAGTGGTGGGGATGTAGCTCAGTGGCAGAATGCCCCTAGGTTCAATCCTCAGTATTAAAAAAAAAAGAAAGAAAAGAAAAGAAAAGAAAGATATTTCTTTGTGGTTTGTGATTACCTAATCCTCTTTGTGGCAAATGTTATACATTTGAGTACAGTTTGCAAAGTGTATAAAATTAGCACTTTTATAGAGAGTTTTCTGGCAACTAAATTCTTTGGACTATGCAAAAGCCTACCACTTGATGAATTATAGAATAATAGCACAACCTAAACCTAGTTGTTATAGCCTCACCCTCTGAACCTATCTATATCCAGACTTCTGAGTTTATCCGCAGGGCTTTCTCCCATGTGCATTGCTGAAACCTTTACCTAATATCAATTGACTTTTCAAAACCAAGGAATATATCAAGTATGTGGTGCACACCTGTGAACCAGCTATTCAAGAGTGTAGGCAGGAGAATCACAAGTTGGAGTTCAGCTGGAGCAACTTAGAAAGACCTGTTTCAAAATTAAAAAAATAAAAAATCTAGGTATGTAGTTTAGTGGTAGAGAGCCCTGGGGTTCAATCCATGGTATTACAGAAAATAAATATTCAAAAAGTATATTTTTCTAAATTTAAATTCCTTTTCTTTGAGATTAATCACATTATTTCAATAACAAGTTTTTATTGTTGAGAAATTATTGGATTTTTAGTTTTCATCAAATATTTCACTTCCACATGTTCTTAAGTACTTTAAAAAACATTGTTATTCAAAGTTGTCTTATCCTCTTAGAACTATTCTAATTTTCAAAATTATATCAAAGGAAATATTTTAAATGAACAAAATTTATATCTCCTAAAAAAGTTGTCTATTTCCCAAGTTAAAAAATTATTGCTATATTTATTGTCCTTTCTCTGTATTACAGCATTTTTTCAACTATTTTTTAATGATACCATTATGAAGTGTGAATAATAATGCTTTGGATGTATGGTCTAGTATAATGGGCTGTTAGGGAAGAGGAAGATAACTATAAATTAATATGATTTTAAAGATGTGCAAAAATGAAAAGTAGTCAAATAAATAAATTTCTTTTCTTTCTTTTTCTAGAGTCTTGTAGACCTTGATCTTGATTCCCCTGCCTCACTTCCCAACTAACTAAAATAACAGGTGTGCACCACTACACCCACCTCTGATTTCTTCATTAATAAAGCACTCCCAGCATGAATTTTAGCAGTAAAGATGACAAAAAAGAAAAGAGTGTTTTTTCCCCATGTTATTTATGAGGCATAATTTTGCACAGAGATACAACTTACATGCATTTTATTATTCCTCCAAGTTGATCAGTTTCTTAGGCATTTAAGCAGACAGGAAATACTTTATTTTATGACCTGGATTTGTGATCATGAAGTGTGAAAAAATGTTGCAGGAGAATACAACAGACACTAGTATGGCAGTATGTAAAAAAGTGGATGTGGAACCGATGTGAATCTGCAATATGTATACGGGGTAAAAATGGGAGTTCATAATCTGCTTGAATCAAATGTATGAAATATGATATGTCAAGAGCTTTGTAATGTTTTGAACGACTAATAATAAAAAGTAAATAGAATAATAATTTCAACATCATGCAAAAAATGTTATCTGATCAAAATTGAGTTGTTATTATATGCTTTTATTGGAATCATAAATATATATGCTGCTATAAGTTTATGTACAGGTTTTTTATACACTAACTACAACTTTTGTTTGTTAATGTTTTCCTTTTTAAAAAATTTTTACTAGGAGAATGTTTGCATTATCAGTGGACTCTGCTACACTGAAGGGAATAGAAATCCTACCAGTCCTTGTTTGATCTGTAGATCCCAAATCTCAAAATTCACCTGGTCATATTTAGAAAGTAAGTTATTCTTGTCTATCCAAACATCCCTAAACAAGATTGTTTTAAACTACAAGTTACATAAATGTGTTTAAAGTTAATAAATACTGAATTTCATTTAGCATCTTTCTTAATGCTTACAAGAACCTGTATATTTTTCTATACAGTCCTGCACCAGATAATGTCATTTTGTTCTACACAGTGTGCAAGTACAATAGTAGAACCAGAAGATGTGTCATCTAGTGATGTCATAGCTGTCTTAGGTTTTGCTTTTCTTTTATTTTTTTTTTCTTTTTGATAAGCATTCTTTGGATAACCCAGTGTCAAAATTGCCTGACAGTGCATTTGTCAGAACTTATGCCTGTCATTAAGTGGCACGTGACTATAAATAATTTTTATAACAATAATACAATAGAACATGAGATACTTATTTTAATATTTGATAGGGAAAGCAATGTGAATTATTTTTAATATATATTTTAAACTGTAGATGAAAACAATACCTTTATTTTGTTTATTGATTTATTTTTTTAATGTGGTGCTGAGGATCAAACCCAGGGCCTCACACATGCGAGGCAAAGCACTCTACCACTGAGTCACAACCCCAGCCCCAGCAATGTGAATTATTAATTGAAGAAATGGAGTTTGTTAGTTCAATTACACACCATTTCTTATTCCTAGCCTTAATTCTGTTCAGTTTCCTGATAAATCATTTAACTATTGAAGTTCTAGAGGATATGCACTTACCACTTATTAAATAAGGTATCTTGACTTAATTATCTATAAAGTGCCTTCCAACACTACTATTCTGTGATGTCATGAGTATAATATTGTATACAAATAATATTGAGATTTTTCATTTCATCCAAACAGCATTCCAAATTGTGTACCATATACCAGGTAACCTTTTCACTTTCCTAAACACAACTAGATATGATTCTACATGGGTGCCCAAGTTCTCTTTCCTCATAGGATGATCAGACATTATTAGTACAATGGAACATGATTATTCCCTGATGCAATATAATTTTATCTGAGTAATAAAACCTATACAGCACTTTATGATACCATTAAACTGTCATTATATGTGTAAATTTCATTACTATATTAGATCATTTGCCAGATGATTTACTGCTTAGGTGCTAGACTCATGAAATATTTTTGGAAGACAATGGAAATTTAAGGAAGAAATCAGTGCAAGAGACAAGGAAATGCAATATAACTTCTGAATTAGTGTCTGTTTTAGTGACTATGATATAATTGATTCAGTAGTAAGCCTTAGTGTTCAAAGATATAAAGGGTCATAACATATCTTGTTTCTAACCTCATCATATTGAGGTTGTGGAAATTAGAACAGATAAATCAAACTGTCTGTATAAGGATATACAGGGCAGAACAGGAGCCAGAAATACAGTCTCTTGGCATCAGTGCACCAAGGATACAAGCAGAGTATTTGTGACCAATATGATGAAGTGTGGCTTTTTATTCATTTATTAAGCCAGTGGGCAAGAAAGACAGATAGTTTTTTTTAAACATAAGAAGATATAAAAATATAGTTTAAATTGTTTCATGAGCTTAGAGGGAACTCTCCCTATCTCCTGAAACAGCCACTATAATAACCTGTGAACTCAGCCACTGGAAAGACCTCAGAGGAATAGGAATTTGGTATGATTGATGGCTGAATCAAATTCTGGGGAATCAAATGAGGAATGTAACTGGGATCTTAAAGGAAAAATAAGAGAAAGGGAGGTGCATGGGTAGAAAGTGAGGCTTAAAAATACAAGAGTTCAGAGGCAGGAGGAGAGAGAGAGGGAGCGGGAGAGCTTGCAAGCACATGCAAGCAGTGAGATGATCAACACAGAAGTAATTTAAGACGGAAGAGGAGGTGCATTCTGACTGGGCAGTGCAAATTTGCTTGTGTCTTTTATGTTGTATCCAAAGTGTTTTTATACTCTAATAGCAAATTTGAGGTCTGCATCTATCAGTTAATTTTATATTTTCTTAGAGTAGAATTGATTATTCAGAATGTTTAAAAAATGAAAGCAACTAAGAGAACTGGTAGCAGAATATTTAGGTGTCTTTTAATTTTCTTCATTCTTTTAAGTGAATATGTTATCATTTTGAATTATGAATATAAATTTATTTTTACTGAGTTGTTGAAAGAATGCAAGTATTGATTGCACCAGGGATTTTTGCAAAATCAGGGTTACTATACTTAATGATAGGAATTTATTCATTCAAATAAATTGTTAAGCATTGAAAGAGCACAACTTCATCTCCAATTGTTTTACTGAGGAAAGACTGACTTTTCTAACACATTCAACATTGGAAACTTTTCACAAGTTTTCACAGACAATGCAAGAAGTGGATAAAAGAAGTTGTCATTAAGCGAAGGCGAAAACCATTCTAAACAACCATTTCATTGTTTAAGAAAAAAGTCACTGAGTTTTTAAATGAACTACAAATGAATTCTCTAATATGATAAGCTTTTACTTTAAATGTTARTGGACTTTTAAGTCACCTTATTTATAGGCAATTTTTTTATGTACTTGAAGGGTCAAGTTGAATCATAAATGAAATCTAAGCAATGACCTTACATGTGATTATACAGTAAAATTTAAAAACAGCCCAGTTTTGTCCTCACAATGCATGACTTCTCTGTGAGGACTTGGAGGTCTTAAATAAATAATAGAAGAAACAAAAAAAAAAATGAGCCTGGTAGACATATTTCAAAATAAATCTCTTGAACTCTTTAATCTGTATTCTGTTTAGGCAAAAACTGCCAGGAAGATGCTGATGAGTGTGCATCTGGGCCTTGCTTTCCAGGAGTAGAGTGCTTCAGTACCTTTGGCTCCTATCATTGTGGTTCATGTCCAAAAGGATTTTATGGTGATGGGAAAACCTGTCATGGTAAAAGTTTATTTTCTGCTGTGAGATGTGTTCTGCTGTATTTAATTAGCTCAAATCACTCAATTCCATTCTCTTTCTTACACACTCATTTGGTATATATGCATTAAGTATTGTGCAATACACTAGATGCATGGGATGCAGAGATCAGACATGTCCTCTGATTTAAGGGGTTAGGGTGCAATAGCACTAATCCTTTGGTACAATATAATATTCTGTGTCTTGTGATAGAAAAGGGACTAGGTGGAATCTTACACAATGTGTTGTGTTTACCTGGAGGGATTATGAAAAACTTTAAAAAGGAGATATCTAGACTATAGTAGATATACAACAGCTGAATCTAATGTATGAGATCAAGGGGGTGAAAAGCATTGCAGGAAGAAGAAATAGCCCAAGCAAAAGCCCAGGGCCGTGTAATACCACAGCACATCCTGAGCACTGAACAATTCAGTGTGCCTGGAGGACCACAGGCCCGAAGAGCTGCTGCAGGAGTTGAAGCTAGAGAGGTAGCCAGCATGTAGACCAGCAGCAGTCCCTTAAAGTTTTGAAATAAGAGAGAAACATGTTAAGACTTATATTTGAGAAAATTTACTCAAGTAATATAGACAATAGACCATCTGTGGGTAAAGAAATGTGAAAGCCTGAAGGTGAGAAGAAAAGCAAAGCCAAGATAGTATTTCAAATATGTAGGGAGAGATGAAGATATTCTGCCTTAAGGTAAGATAATGAGAAATGAAAGAGATGCTAAAGAAGCAAGCTGATAGTACTTGGCTTGGTCAGTAATTGGATTAGCGTAGGAAAGAGAGTCATTTAGTTGGAGGTATTTGATTTAGGTGAATGGTATGTGGAATTGGCACTCACATTGTTGTAGACTGAACTACATTCCACTAAAATTCCAACATTGAAGTTCATAGGGTTGCAGGCGGTGATAAGAGTAGAGTCCTAATCCAATAGGATTAGTGTCTTATAAGGAGAAACACCAGAGAATTATTTATCTCTCTCCTTTTTTTTTTTTTTTTTTGATTGAACTGGTGATTGGACCAGGGATCTTTCTGTCTCTAAGCTTCATCTCCAACTTTTATATTTCTTATTTTGAGGCAGGATTCCCCAGGTGATCAAGCTGCCTTCACACTTAGCAATCTTCCTGTCTCAGCCTCCCAGATAGCTGGCTTTATAGCATTGTACCACCATGCCCAGCTCACCAGATAACTCTCTCTGCCAGGTGAGAACACATTGAGAGCATGTCTATCTCCAATACATGGAGAGGGTCCTCACACAAAACAAAACAGGCCAGCACCTTTCATCCAGAGCTTTCCAGCCTCCAAAACAGTAAGGAAGTGAATTTTTGTTGTTTAGTTCACCCAGTCTATGGTATTTTGTTATGGCAGGTTGATCTGATTAAATATACAGGAAGAAGTAATAGTTTGGGAGAAGAATTATAGTGAATTCAGTTTGGTTACTAAGAGACTAAAGGACAATGGAATACCCACATGAAGCTCAGCAGAGAGAACTAAGTTAAATATACAGTTATTATGGTCATCAGCTATGAGATGACATTACCAAGGGAGAATATGGAGGAAAGAAGACCAAAAAAAGGTGGACATCAATATTTTAAAAGATTAAAAGAGAAAAGTAAGTTATAGAAAACAAAATCAAAGAATTACATCTTTGGTGTAATTTAATGAGATCTACTCTGATGAAAAATAGATACTAATGACATAATATCACCTTAAGCTTCAAATTGGGTTGAATGTGTCTAGCACTGGAGATGACAGCTCTGAGGAACACAGGGCAGAGGGTAAGAGGATTCCTCACTACTTCAACTGCTTGCATTTCTCCTTCAGTATCCAGTTCCTAATATTAACACTTTCTGCTCTCTGACTAACATCCCTCCTTTCCAAACAAAGAGGATTGTTCCCTCAGTAAAACTTATATCAAGGTGACAATTAAACCTAACCCCATTACACATGAGTGACTCAGAGCTTTCTTAACCTTGTCAGAGATATTTGTGTATTTCACAAAGATGCTTATTGCTGCAGAAGAATTGGTTGTTGGTGATTACTTAGTTAATGCAGGCACCAGAATTTGAGGAATATAAAAATAAGCAGAACTGGGTTTGGTGGTGCATGCCTGTAATCCCAGTGGCTCAGGAGGCTGAGGCAGGAGGACTGAAAGTTCAAAGCCAGCCTCAGCAAAGATGAGGCACTAAGCAATTCAGTGAGACCTTGTGTCTAAATAAAATACAAAATAGGGATGGGGATGTGGCTCAGTGGCCAAGTGCCCCTGAGTTCAATCTCTGTACCTCCCCCACCCCCACCCCCCAAAAGTAAGTAGAGCAGGGTTTGTATTCTTGAGGTTATTGTTAACCAGTAGGAGAAAGACATGCACAAGAGTCAATAGTACAAAGGACAGTCCTGTGAAAGAACCTAGGTGGTCCAGATGGATTTGGTGTGTTGGGACTACTGAAGAAAACTTTCTTACTCAGATCAGGCTGCCGTAACAGAATCCCACAGACTGAGTGGTAAATCTCAAACAGCAGAACTTTGTTTCTCATAGTTCTGGAGACAGGAAGTTCAGATGAAGTTGCTGGGTTTGCTGGTTTGGGTTGAGACTTTCTTACTGGCCAACAGAAAGCTGCCCCCACTGGGCCCTCCCTCTCTCTGTGTGCTCTCCTGGAGTCTTTTCCTCTTCATAGGCCAACAAACCTATAGGACCAGAGCCTCATTCTTCTAACCTCCTGTAACCTAATCACTTCCCTCCTCCTGTCTCTAAATACAGCCGTGTAGAGTTAGGGCTTTAACATATGAATTTTGAGGCACTCAATTCAGTCTATTCCAGAGGGTTTGCTAATGAGAGGATATCAAAATTTATTCTTTAAGATGCAAAAGAGTTCCATGTGACATGTGTATTATATGTTTTTATATGTTCTTATATGTTTTTATTCATGATGCTTTGATTTTGTGATATTTTTATTCTGATTTGTTTCTGCTTTTTGTGTACCACTTACAGCTGAAATAGAGTTTTTAAATGAACTTACTACACAAATTGCAGTTCTCACAAGGTCTCACAAAAGTGTAACTATGGAAGAGGATGGTAAAAGTGCCAAACAGGGAGAAAACGACGTTAAGCCAGCAAGCAGAAATGCCTCTAGTAAGTAGTAGTGATTTTAGTTGAAATACGGTGACAAATGTATTCACTTTTTCTTTTTTTTTTTTTTTTTTTTTTTTTGCTAATCTATTGAATCCTCTGGATCATATTCTAGAAAAATGCATTCACTCATGTCATATAACAACCAAATGATAGTATCATTTAAGGTGATTTCAGAAAATCATACTAATTATTATACTTTAACTTTCATGCTAGCTACTATTCTATGCTATCTTGAGTGCCCCAACAGGTAGCCATATAAGATCCTTTAAGGCAGGAGCAGTGTCATGACTTCCCTTTACTTTGTCACTCCTCATATAGTGTTACACATGTAGATGCTAAATGAAGGCATGAATAACTCAATGCCAAATACTGTGGGTAGAGCAGAACATTAATAAATGCTGTTGACTAACATTTCTATTTCTTTTTTTTTGTTGTTAGACTTGAATTTTCAGCCACTGTCAACAGAACATTCACTAACTGGTGCAAGCTTTACCCCTAGTCCTCCTCCGTTCAAAAGGTTCTTGAGTACAATGAACATCTCCTACCTGTCACCGACATCAATTACAACTCAGATGGATACTTCAAAGAAGTCTGTTTCTCAACAGATACCTGGTTATGAACATGTGGATCATATTCTCAGTGCAGATCTCACTGTGGATGAATTGGAAGATCCTACAAACCACAGCCATTCTTTAAGCATTAATCTCAACAGTTCTCGTGGCCAAGGGAGGGATATTTTCCATAGCACCATCCAAATAGAGACAGGAGAATATCATTCTTTCATTAACAGTTCTTTGCAAAGTTACACACAAGACGAAGATGAGTTTGTAGCATCAGTTACTAAAGCAGTCACTATTCTGCCACAGAAGTTTGGGTCAACCGAAATATCGACTTGTGCTGAGTMGCCTTGTTTTCTTGGTGTTTCCTGTGTGCCAACCACAGGTGGCCACTTCAAGTGTGGACGCTGCCCCACTGGGTATTATGGAGATGGTGTCAATTGCAGAGGTACTATGAAAATTTTTCAGAAGATACAGAGAAAACTACCTCATTCCAGTTTTAGTCACTAAGAAGATACACTTTTCCACTTACTAATTTCTCTTCCTTCCACTTTGTTCAACATGTTTTGAAAAAAAGAAGCAAAAGTGGGTTTTCTAAGTTTCTTATTTAAAGTGTTAATATTATATACTATCACAACAATATGATATATAAATATATTTATTGAGTACCTACTCTGTCCCAAGGTCTTCAGAAACATTCTGTATCAGTTATATATGATCAACAACTCCATATAATAAGTGTTATTGTTCCCAATAGATAGATGAGATAGTGGAGTTTTGAGGGACTGACTGTCCTGTTATTAAGCAAGTAATGAAAAAAAACAAGGATGTCAATATAGATCTGATTAACATTGTGGCCTGAGTTATTTTTAGTTCAAATGCACAGTTAACATTTTAAATTACTCTTTCTGATCTATTTACTTATTTGAAACTTACACAGTTGTCTCTGTAATTCCTCCAATTCTTTGGAGTCTTAAACAAGTTTTGCATCATTTTAATTTTACAAGTATTTTTATATCTTTCCACAATTATTAACATTGTTTTATCTGATACAAATCAAATTTTTGAGTCCTGTAATTTAGAGTCTGGTTTTTATTGTTGCTGTTGATATGAGTTTGATGTTCTTGTTTTGTTTTGTGTTTTGTTTTATTTGAGACCAAAATTAAGTGAGACAGTTGTTGGAATATTCTTATGTTTCCCATATTACCTAAAGGAAATTTGTTTTTCTTCTTTTTTTCCATAAGAATAATAACTCTCAATACTTACATTATATAATACCTATAAGAATTCCTTAACAAATGTAACAAATGAAAAAAAACAATTTCATGTATATTAGATACCGCAGGAAGTGTTAAATGTCCAGTAGAATATATCAGGTAGTAGAGAAGCTTAAGGAATCAACCTCATGATGTGTTCTTTGAAAATCTGATTATCCTTATTATTTATTAACATTTAGCTGATTCATATCTGAAATTTCATTGCCCCCTGAAAAAACACTGTAATTTCAGGTAGGGTTAGGTTCTGCCTCTAACAGGCACCATCTCGGGAGTAATTATTACATTTGGCACTTCTTTCTTACTCTAAAAACGATTTTCCTCAGTCATTCTAATGAATAAAAATATTAAGAAGACCATTTTAAGGGTGAATGGCCATTATTTAATACCTTATCAAAATGTTACAATTTGAGAAATTTTAAATTTCATTATAAGTAAATAATTGAGCGGCATGTATATATCATGTCAATGGTTCAGCCATTTCTCCTTGATTTTTGCAGCCATTTGTAGACATCCATGTGGAAGGAGCAGGGAATGTGTGGCACCAAACATATGCAAATGCAGACCAGGTTATACCGGTTCTAACTGCCAAACTGGTAGGTGTATCATTCATTAAATTGAAAAATGAATTTTACTTGATAATTGATATTTCTAAATGGGTTTATTTTATACAGCTGTATGTCAGCCTGCTTGCAAAAACCATGGGAAATGCACGAAGCCTAACGTCTGCAAATGTCCTCCAGGATATGGTGGAACAACCTGCAATGAAGGTGGTAATCCAAATTGAAAAATCAACTAATAGGGTTAAAATAAAATGTTATTTTCTCTAATAGGCTTTTATAAGATAATTCAGTTTCACTGTGTATATACTAATATGTAGTTATTAATATTGGTGAAAGAGCCCACTTTTAAGTGTTCACTAAAAACAATTCATTTGAGAATTTTAAAAACTTAAGTTTCAGAAATCAGAGATCCAAAGAATAGTAGCTTTTCTTTGGTGAAATTATCTTCTGAAATTTTTTGAAGATTTGGTTTTAGGGTATCATATCTCTACAAATAAGAAGATATAAGGTGGTAATAAGAAGAAACTTAAAAAATTAATTTTAAAAATACATCTTTAGCCATATAATTTGCATGACTTTAGGTGAAATATTAAGTGGAGAGTGTATGAAATAGAATTCCTAAAGCTAGGTTAATACTTTAAAGAAATGAGTTAGTTGATATTTTTAAAATAGTTTTTTTAAAAACAATGTATTTTGGTAGATGGTACATATGATTACTAATAAACTGAGTCATGTTAAATGCTTTAATGACAAGGCAAGCAACAAATTAACAAACTAAAGTTTTTAGGTCGAACTGGAACTTTCAACAGTAGCCTGTGGTGATAGCCATGAAAATATAGAAATATTCTTTTTTTAGGGTAGAAATATGTAAGTCCAAGATTCATTTTACAAAAGAAGCCTAAGATGATATATTTCCATCAGTTAACCAAATTTTTATAACCTTTTACACAACTGTCTGTGTTGCATTTTCTAGATTTATTTTATAAACCCAAACATGCTGATACCTGGTGAGGGTTTCAGAGTGTGAATCCACACAGTCAGTCCCTCAGAGCTGAATCTCATTGTCAAAGAGAACTGAAGTCATTATAAACTGCTCTTACAATAGGCTTTATTGTGACTGTGCTTCTTAAATATAAATGGATAATTCATTGTGATTATTATTAAGATCTGACTTAATAATGTAATCTGTTCCTGCAGAACATTGTAGCCCACCTTGTCAACATGGTGGCACGTGCTTGCCTGGCAATCTCTGTACTTGTGCTTATGGTTTTGTGGGATCGAGGTGTGAAACAAGTAAGCCAAGCTCCCCTTGCAGTCTGCTATAATGAACTTGCTGCTTTGATAAACTTTTCTTTAACACTAAATGGAATGAACCCAAACCTAAGTAAAAAACAGTCTTTCATAATCTATGATGACAGTTCCCATCCTGGGTAGCATTGGGAGCAGTTTGTTCTAAGAAATAACTATTCTTAAACCCACCTTTGAGATAAGATGAATTCAAATGTGCTCATTTGCAGATAAATTTATCTCATTTCATTTATGTCTATAGTCACTTTCATCAGTAGCTAATAATTTCCCCTAAGAGCCAATTTTGTTGACTGTTCAGTTCAATGGTTTTCTCCTATCCCCAGCTCTATTAGTGAGAAAATAACTGAATATGAAAAGGGAAGAGCATTTAAAGCCAAAGTATAAATTATTCCCATTTTATTCATTAGCAAAAACATTTGGCAGTCATGAGATAATTATATAATAGTTAGAATGGTGGTGAGCATTCTTAGCCTAACTTGTCTTTCTTTTATCTTCACTGTGGGTCTTAGTGGTTTGCAACAGGCACTGTGAAAATGGAGGTGCATGTCTCTCACCAGATGTTTGTCAATGCAAGCCTGGTTGGTATGGACCCACCTGTAGTACAGGTAAAATCAGAGTTGTTTGCAATGAATGTGTCCGTTAAAAGAAATTTAAAATGTGCCAATGTTCTAAAGACTTGCATCTAAGAAATGAAACTGATCTGATAAGTAACTTTCATCTTCTTATATTGGACTGGATTATGTCTTATAGCTTTATTGTTATCCAACCATAAACACCCTGTTTCATTAAACGTCCAATCAATTCTTAGTTATACAGACAACCATCCTGTTATTCCATTTATTTATCACAATATCAGATTCGCTTTTTTCATGTTTAATTAATTGGCAGTTATTCTAATGACTTTTCTCAATGAAAATTTAATTCAACATTCATAGTTTGCCAACTGTATGTGAAGCATGATGCAAATGGAAACAAAGATCAATTTGATTTTGCCCTCATTTCAAGTAGAATATTGATAGTTAAGGAGACCTGGGACACAGCTGTAAAAAACACAAGACCAGGACAAGTTGGGTTATGATAAGTAATATCATTGAAGCACAGTTCCTTGAAAGCAAAGATGGAAATCAGTTCTGGCAAATGGAGTTTGGAAGAAAATAAAATTCTAGTAGACTTTGGAATACGCTGAAAAATGGAATGGGGTGCTTTTTAAACAAAATAAAGGTAATAGAGTAAATACAAAGAAATGTTTTTGAGAGTGCTGGGACCTGAGTAGTGTCCCTGTTTCATTTGGGAAGGAGACAAAGAGGTACACCTAGCCCCACTGGTTCTAGCAGGTTACAAGCCATCTCATTAGTGCTATTGAATGAATCATGTGCTCTTAACTTAGTCTTTTTTTTTTTTTTTTTGAGCTTACCAAGGGCATTCTAAATTCTACTCACACACTCCACATTCTAAGTTTAATATTATTTGTAAACTTAATAAATACACTTTGAAAGCTATTATGCAGTTATTTCATGCTTCATATGTTTGGCAAAGTCTAATGAATTATAGTTGCTCCATTTTGTATGGAGCTCCATTTCTGTGCAGCTTTCCTTTTAAAATTTAATTTTTAAAATAATAATACTTTTATGGTCTCTTTCCCTTTTGCTGTTCATTAGCTTTGTGTGACCCTATTTGCCTCAATGGTGGCTCCTGTTACAAGCCAAACGCTTGCCTCTGCCCGAATGGATTTTTTGGTGCACACTGTCAGAACGGTAATGATTCTTTCTTGATAAGTCAAAAAGTCAAATGGAATGTTAGACATCAATAGAGCTTTGAGAAAACATTAGAGAAGTTTGAAAGTGGAAGATGCTATTTGTTTCTTCTATTTATTGTGATGCTGCAGGTCTAGCCATCAAATGACCAGCTCATACAAAGGGTATTGGAGTTATTAAGTAAAATGGTTTTAGTTATTCAATGTATGTTAGGCTTACAACCTTGGCATTAATCAGTGCTTTATATAACAAAGATATGAAACCAATAAGCGGAGTTTACATGCAGTTTCCAGTGAAATTATATCATTTTACTTGCCGTCACAGCAAAAATGTTTGATTTATAAGCTACTGTCTATTGATTTCCCACAATCTCTCTTGACTTTAGTTTCATTAAACATTTATGAAGAATCAACTATGCACAGCTCTCTGCAAGATGGTGTGGAGACATAAAAATGCATCTTATTCTTTGTGGCCCATTATTTCCTTCAAATAGTTAATGCTGTAGGGCTTTCTTCAGAGCAATGGGAATGTCTTGAGAGTGAGAGTATAGGTAGGAATTAATGTCAATAAATTTTTAAAAATATATTTTCTATATCTTCATATTTTGAGTTACACAAAATATAGAACTAACTTTTTAGTACAGAAAATATAAGCACATCATCATAATTTAATTCATAAAATTTATACTTTCCTAGCCAGGATAGAATTTGATTTCCAATTCTTATTATTTTTTAATTTGGAAGTTGGCCAGGAGTCTTAAGATGAAACAGAAGTAGAGAAGAAACCATCACTCAAACACAAGACATATGGGCCTAAAGAACATATCCTCTCATCCATATTTCCTCCATTGTGAAATGGAGGAAGCAAAGACTAAGTAGGCAAATCTTAGAAGCTAAGAGATTGCAATTAAATCCATGGTGAAGAATTATAAGTATAATTCTGAGTAGAAAAAATAAGGAGAGAAATGAAAAGCTTACATGTGCCTTGCTAATTTCAGATGTAAGACATAGAAAACTTCTCAAAACTATATGCCAACTGTGAAACTAGATAAAAGAGGGAATCTCTAAGTAATTTAGTTGAACTAAAAAGTATCTATGGAACATATGCATTTTTCAACAGCAGGTTGCTATAGTGAGATAAGAGCAAGTATGAGAATTGCCCCCTGTTGCAACTTCCTAGCTGGCATAGACTTTGACAACTTCCTGTAAATCTTCAGGCTTCATATTTCCTGGTTTTCAGGTTTGACCTAAACACTATTACATTATATCCACTGTGAGTCCAAATGTTGGGCAGGGAAGATGACACACATCAAAAGAAGTTGAATAAAATTAGGCAAAATGTGATTAAAAGTAAATACAAGGGACTGTTTGTACAATAGAATTTCAAAAGAGGAAGACAAAAATTGAGCTGGGAACATCACAATATTATTATACTACTCTTTAAAAAAAGGTCAGGGTTAAAGTGTATGGCTGAAGATGCATAACCACATCTTCCAGTTTCCTTCACCTCCTAAAATCCTCAATTACTTGGTTCAACCTGGGCATTGTTGGGAGAACCATTTGAGGCCTGAAGAATCTGGTAGGAGGGTTGGTTTTCTCCCAAAATTCCTTTTCTAACCTGGGATGATGGCTAGATGACTAAGTTCAAATTTTTTTCTCTTTATATATATTATTTCAATCATATGTGCTTTTTGTATAAATGTATTTGTCTCTACACTCAAGACTTTGTGAATTGTTATAAGGCTGTATACCATAAGCAACTTGGGGTTTATTATTTTAGTGTTAAGTTCCCAATCATAGGTATTTACTATGGTGCTTCTGTAGTGGAAAAAAAGACCTTTTTTCTAATAAATAGAAATCATATTAAATTATGTAAAGAATGGGAAAGAGAACACATAAGAACATTCTACCAYTAATAAAACATAACATATACCTGTTTATAATTCTCCATGTGTAGTTTTTTTATCAGTCAGTATTTGATGTGTAACAAACAATCCCCCAAATCTCAGTGTCCAGCAATATGCATTTATTTCCCTGACTCACAAACAATACAGGTTGTCTGGACTTGACTGTAGACTGCTTCACCTGTCTGTCTTCCTCCAGAGACCCACATCTATCTGGTGTATGCCTTTCTCAAGCAAAAACCAGGAGAGCAAGAGGCCAAGGCAAACTACCCTGAATATTTAGAGCATCTGCTTATATCATGTCTGCTCTCAGGCCAACGGTCAAATTAAGTCCTGTGGCAAAACCCAATAACTACAGGATGAGAAAATAAACCCCACCTCCAATGTGGTGGGTACAAAGTCACCTGGAAGAAGGCATGGCTAAACAAGAGTGAAAAATTGGGAGAAATAATCTATAATCTAACCTAACTCCGTGTCATAGCTCATGACTGTCACTGTTTTCTTTTCCATGCTTCAATAAAGATTGTTGAACAAATGCTTTAAAAAATAAGAAAGTATTCATAAAATATCAGAGAAAGTAGAGTCAAGCATGAGCTAGAAAAGGCTCAGTATTACTTAGTGGAAACTATCCATTCTCTAAAAGCATCCATTTATATTGTTTTTTGTACTTGAAGTGCTTTTTATTTATAAATCCATTTGATGTCAGTGATATTTTTCTTACAGTCTTTAGAAGTGAAGAAAGCAGCTAATAAGGTGGGTCTAATTCAAACTGGAAGTCAAGTCTTTTGGTAATGACAGTCCCATTACTAAAACCTGTCAATTTGAAATTAATTTTAAAAATACAAACTAAAATACACTTAACTATCATTCAAGGAAAAATTGAATTTAAAAATTTCCAGGCATTTTTGTCTCATATTAATAAGAAAGTAAGGATGGAAGGAAGGAAGAAAGGAAGAAGAGAGGGAGGGAGGGAGGGAAAGAGGAAGGGAAGGAAGAAAAGAAGGAGAAAAGCATAACTGCATTTAGTGGTGGTGTAGCTAAGAGTTAGAGCATGTGCTTAGTATGTACAAGCTCTGGATTTGATTCCCAGGAGGAAAAAAAAAAAGAAGTGAAAGAAAAAAAGAAAAACCTACACTTAAGTTAATCCTTTCATAAAATAACTCAACCTCTGAATTTCATGAGACAGAATCCTAAAAATAGAAGATACTAGTAAATTATAAGTTTTGAAGAAATATTCCTAACAACCACTAAGAATTATTGTCAAAAGATTCTATCAAGGATTCACAAGAACCAGTCACATTAAACTGCATCAAAAGTATTCAAAAGTTAAAGTTTTTTTTGATGTTTTTGTGATATGTGACAAATTGTAGAGATTTTTCTGATTTCCAAAAGAGCAAAACATTCTTATTTTGAGGTAAGTTCTGATTTATTTTCTTGGTTGTGTCCTGATCATTTTATGCTTCATTTACTTCACAGTATGGTAAGACCAGACCAAAGTGAAGGTTCATAATATATATACTATAATACTGAGGACTTCATTTGTTATGAATACTACTCCCATACATTTCAAATTGTGCTAACCCTCTAGCAGCTTATGGCTATAAGCATCATATTTTGTGATATAGAAAGGACAGTTTTAATGACTTGTAGTTGTAATCTTTTATTTTAATAGCACATTCCTCTGCCTTATGGCCCCATAGATAGCAAGCACAGGATGCAATATGCAATACATAATAACTGAATATGTAATATTCACACATTGCTGCCATGTGTTCTTTTAGCTATCTGTCACCCTCCCTGCAAGAATGGTGGCCACTGCATGAGAAATAATGTGTGTGTCTGCCGTGAAGGATACACTGGTAGGAGATGCCAAAAAAGTAAGACACTACTAAACCTATATGCAGACTACAGGTAAAGCAAATAAAACTGTTGCCTTAAGCTAATATTTCATGTTTCCCCTTAAGGCATCTGTGATCCCATGTGCATGCATGGAGGAAAATGTGTGGGACCAAACATTTGCTCCTGCTCTTCCGGTTGGAGTGGGAAAAGATGCAATATACGTAAGAAGAATACTCTTAAAATGCCAAAGTCGGGGCTGCTGTTTTTTCTCAGTGTTAGAGCACTTGCCTAGCATGTTTGAGGCACTAGATTTAATTCTCAGCACCAAATAAAAATAAATAATTTAAATAAAGGTATAAGAAAATACAATAACATTTATTAAAAAGATATCTTAAAAAAAACAATGTCTACATCCTTTGTGGGAAGATTAAGCAAAATATAAGACAAAAAAAAGTTTTCTTTGTTTTTATTTGTTTTAATTTTGGTGTATTCATTCCTGTATTAGAAGATATCTTTGAAATAGAATARAATGAGAAGTTCTCTGAACCTAGTTTTTCAGGTCAGCAGAGGAAGTTGTACATTGTATTTCCTAGTTTCCTACTGTTTGCCTGGGATAAATAACAAAGTCTTTATATTATATTCTCCTAAACTGAAGTAGGGCTCAGTGGGCAGTTTAAAAAACTGCGGATTCCTTGGCATCAAAAGAAACCACGCAATTCAGACTTTTTCAAGTGAGAGATCCTACTGCCTCTCAGACTGATTAGTACCTGAGATGATGGCACTTCTCATTCAAATATTTCCTTTTATCCTTTCTATAAAATTACTCTAAATTAGAAGCAATTGTAGTGCATAGATCAAGGTGAAAAATGAGAAGTAACATATATGTCCAACAATTGAAGGAAACATACCACAATACTTTCAAATAACGGAATGTATATTATTGCACAACCATTAAAATCACATTTTCTAGGACTACATAGTAACATTGGAAAATGTTGTTTGATAAAATATCCACTAATTATTGACTTTTAACTGTTTTTCTTTAATTAAAATTCATGTGGTTTATGATAAGATTTGAGTAGTAATGTAAAATTTTAACTTGTTTATATTTCTATTTGTAGCTATTTGCTTTCAGAAATGTAAAAACGGTGGTGAGTGCATTGCCCCCAGCATCTGCCACTGTCCTCCCACCTGGGAAGGAGTGCAGTGTCAAACACGTAAGCCCACAGGATTTTTTTCTACGATATATTCATATTGGAACCCATTATAATAATTAAATATGACTTTAGGAGAAATCCATAATGGAAAAAACTACAGAATACTGATTCTTTTAAAAAATTATTTTACAGCTGGGTATGGTGACTCATATTTATAGTCCCAGTGACTCGGGAAACTGAGGAAGATGGATTGTAAGCTCAAGGCCAGCCCCAGCAGTTAGGGAGGCCCTAAGTAATTTAGTGAGACCCTGTCTCAAAATGAAATAAATAGATAAATAAGGGCTGGGGGATATGGCACAGTGGTTAAGCACCCTGTGTTCAAGCCCCGGAACTATCCCCCTAAATGACTTTAGAAATAAAAAAAAATTACCCAATTTTATATTTACTTATAAAAAAGAAAGTATGATATAATATATAATTTTTTGTGGCATGGTTTTAAATTATGGTCTGTAGGTTGCCAGTGCAGTTTCCTTAGATGGGACTAAGGAAAGTTTAATATGCAGAAGTTCAAATGTTATTTGTTATAGGATAAATATACCCCTATAATGGAAATCTTAGAAATTATGGAAAAAAATAGCAAAAACTTAATCACTCCAAATTTCATCACCCAGAATTATCTTATGTTATTTTTTTAGTATTTTATGCATTTCCATCCATATTTATTCATAAAGTAAATCTTGGGCTATAGAAAAAATAAAATTTATCCACATTTGAAATTTCTGAAAACTTTAAATAACATGTTAAAATATTAACAAAGATTATCTTAATGGGAAAAACATGAAGGCCTCCAAAAATACCTTCAAAGATCAATAATTACATAATTTCAAATTTGCTGGCCAGTTGAAATGTATAATTGATACATAATTATGCCTTTTACTCGAAATAAGTCTCTTTGAAAGAAAATGTCTTATGAACCACACTATGGTTTTCCTGCATCAGAAATTTTGCATATAACGACTCTTAGCAGTAATTGTATTTGTAATTGTTACTATAATTTATTATTTCTTATTTAGAAAATATATCAAAGTACTATTGAGGACAAGTACTTACATAAGAAATGTGTGCTCAAAAATTGATAATTGTGATTGGAAGTTAGACATGATAAATAGCTAGAAGGGAAGAACAATCAACCTCAACCTGGGTTGCTCATTCTAGAGAGTAGTCTATGCAGATCATGAGAAAGATGAGAAGATGCTAAAAGCACAGGGATGTGGAAATAGACCCGAGTGATCATAGATTGAGGTTTTTTTGTGCACAGATTCAAGTACACTGAAGCATCTTTATGTAAATTTAAAACAAACTAACATCAACTTCCTCAAAATTGCTTGTCCAGAAATTTGTCTTAAATATATTGACTGTTACCTAAACATGGGTGTTACTGCCATCTGCTGGAAAATTGTTGTAATAACTATTTCAATGTATGATGGCTAAGAGTGCCTCCTTAGCTATGGAGGACTTGTGCATCACACAACCCAGCTGACTACATATGGCAGCCCTGATGAAAACATAGCTGTCAGTGTTGCATTTATATCAAAGGGAATATTATTCTTGAAATGTTTAAGCTTTTATTATGAGACACTGAAGTAGTATCACTCCCATGAAAAGCAATTGTATTGTATGTCATTTTATGGTCTGCTCATTTTCACTCAATATCACTTCAAAATATTTACTAGGTCCTAAAAGAACATAATGTTAAACCACACATTAGGTTCCATAATATAAATATCATAATTTACTTAATGTTTCCCTTAGTGTTGCACATTTAATTATTTATAAGTATGAAAAACATTTTTTAAAGGTAGATGATAGAAAAATAAATAGGCAGATTGGGGTGTGTGTGTGTGTGTATGTGTGTGTGTGTGTGTGTGTGGTTAGAATGGCCTTGGAAGATATTTCAAGAAAGACATTTCTAGTACAGTGTCATAAGTTTAAGTTTCCAACAGTTGTTGTACATTAAACAGTTGAGGATATTATATAAAAATTTCTGGGTTTTTTTTCATACAGAAACCAGTCCTGAATTGTCTCTTTTAAATCTTTTCCAAGCTTTTAAAAAGAAAGTTGTAAATACTATCTTCTATTTGAACTCTTTGTAAAAAATAAACACATGTATTTCAAGTATTCTAAAAAGTAGCCAGTAAAGCTGGGCATGGTGACACACACATCTGTAATCCCAGTAACTCAGGCGTCTGAGGCAGGAGGATCACACGTTTGAGGCTAGTCTTGGCAAATTAGCAAAATACTGTCTCAAATTTTAAAAAATAATAAAATGAAAAAGGGGGGGGGGTATAGTTCAGTGATTGAGTACCCCCGACCCTCAGTACTGTAAAAAAAATGAAAGAAATTTGGCTTATTTCAACAATACCTTTATAAAAAAAATGAAAGAAATTTGGCTTATTTCAACAATACCTTTATAAAATTGTAAAAATATTGTCTGAATTTAGGGTGTTTTGTTTTTTAGTGTGTGTGTGTGTGTGTGTGTGTGTGTGTCTGTGAGAGAGAGAGAGAGAGATCCATGGATGATTCACTAATAGATTATTTTCACCTGCTTATTTTCTGTTAATATAATCACTGGAAAAATTAAGGATACATATTTTGCTTACATTATTTTAATTTTTATGGCCAAAATTCATTCATTTTATATATTTTTAACTGATACATTTATGAAGTATCATGTTATGTTTCAATACATGTGTAATATGACAGCTTCTTATGACTGTATCAATGGCCATTACTACAATTGATCAAATATCTTTAAACCACTAAAACAGGATATGTCACAAGCATTCACTATCAAAAGACGTTAATTATAAAAATTTGTGTATTGCAGCAATTTGTAATCAAAAATGTCTTTATGGAGGCAGATGTGCATTTCCCAACGTGTGTTCTTGCCGGACTGGATATTCTGGAGTCAAATGTGAAAAGAAAGTACAGGTATTTAAAACTTTAAAAAGAAAGCAAATATTAGATATAACATCTGCATATCTATTCTACATATTCTACATAATTGACCCTGTTAATGTTTTATTTCCAGAATAAAAAGCATACAAGGTATTATGCTTAACATTTAGAATGTCCCCCATGTGTCAGGCAGCACAGCAATTTTCAGTGGTAAAAGATTGGATCATGAGGGTCTGACCTCATCAGAGGATTAATAATTTCAATGGATGTACTAGAAAGTGGTTTAAAAAAAAAAAAAAAAGATAGGCAGATGGGACATGGCTGGAGAAAGTAGGCCATGGGGGTGGGGAGCATGTCCTTGGGGACTCTATCTGTTCTAGTCCTGGCCCCCTTCTGGCTGTCAGTCTGTCTCTCCCCCCACCCCCCGACTCCGCCACCCATGCCAGGAGCTGAGCAACTTTCTTTGCCATGCCCTTCTGCCATGATACCTTGTAGCAGTCCAGAGAAGCTCTGGCACCATAAGCCCAACTAAATCTTTTCTCTTCTAAGGTGTTCTTGTCAGGAATTTTGGTCATGGAGATGAAAAGATGACTAATGTACAGAGGTTGAATATTTGCCTCTAAAACTAAAAATCATCATTCCAGTGTTATCTTAGAGTTTTCACACAAAATTTTGATATGAGAATTTCAGAGTATAGGTACAACTGCCAAGTATAATGTAGGATTTCATGACAATGGAGCAAATATTCCAAAATATGGACATAAGACATCACTCACTTATGATTTGGTCAAATACCATATCAAGAGACCACCCTTAACTCTCTCAAAAAACTCCACTACTTTTAAATTAGTGAATCACTATTGATTTGGTGGTGGCCCTAAACAGTTTCAGTGGGTCATGTGACACAAAATTGTATCTATTCTCACTATTTTCCCTGACAGAAATGCTTTCTCATTTGCTTTCTGTTAAAATTCATTTCTAGGAAAATGATAGAAACTCTTGCTATCATTAGAAGTAGGATTTCTTTGTATTTCAGGAATCAAGGGACCAAGAGAAGAACAGAGGTTTTCTTAGAGTTGCTGAAATTGTCCAACATTTACTTGTAAAGCCAGTGCTAGAATCACCTATTTAAACTTTCCCTTGATCATATTTCTTCATATAAAATTAAACTGCATTCTGTTTGGTTTCTATTCTGAAATTTACAAATGTCAGTGGACAGGATATGTTTTTTATCCTAATTCCTCCACATACCAGGGTTGCTTCGAACACACAGCAAAAGCAATGATTTCTTAAAGCTAAATGCAGGAGTTTTATTTTAAAAAAATGATTGTATGTTATTTAGCACTTCAAAAGGCCCAAGGGTCATGAATATCAAAGTGTGCTAGAATATTATAATTTGAAAAAATGATAATAAATTTTCTTCTTGAAGATGGATACTGAATCAGTCTGACTTAGAAGCAAAGTAGATTTATGTATGTTTTTCTCCTAGCACTGGTGTTTATCCTGCAAGAATATGGGTCCAGGGATAAAAAAAAATGAAATAAAATAAAAAACATCAAAATAGGATTCTGGACTGGAAATCAAAAATCAAAAGTTATTGAGTACTTATTTTATTAGATACTATTGTGAAAAACAAAAATAAAAGCTTGAGTTCTCTGGATTTGAAGACAGCCTCACTGTATTTTACTTTAATTTTATTTGAGCCTTTGATGGAACAGAAAACCCTATAACTTCAAAGGCTCTTTACTCCACTTTGACAGTACTAAAGTAAGTAGCTTCTCTGTGTTCTATTTTTTTTTCTATATTTATTTGCTCTCTGAGTCCTTCCTCATATGATCAATAATAAATCATCTTCACCCCCATTATTGTTTCCATGGTGACACCTGGAGTCTTACCAGGGAAAAGGAGCAGAAGGTCATGGAGAAAGGAAAGAGTGAGAAGGAGTAGGACCACGTGTCCGACTCATTGTAACCCACTCTCCCTGGTTCTTGGCTTCAGTCCTCACTCTGGCATTCTGTTGTGCATGGTCTCCACTTGTGAGCCTTCTGTCTCAGCCTCTCAAGTCACTCAGATTACAGGCATGCACCACTGTTCCTAGTTATGTTTTTAATATTCTTTGGCTCTTAAACAGAGGCGGAAAAAAATTCTCTTTAGCAGGGATAAAAGCATCCATGACCCATGAGTATTCACAGAACCTTCCCTAAAGCCTTCCCTTGTTTCTCCACCCAGCTTTCTAAAGGAGACTTCAAGCTGGCTAATAGCCCTTGTCCTTCTTCTAGCACCTTGGGAGAGTGGATGGGGGGAAAAAGTGGAGGATACAGATTAGATTGCTAGAATTTTAATTAAATAGGGAATTTTTGGCTAGAGACAAAAGACAGAGCAAGAGGAAAACAGACTAAGGAAGATAGAGGTGCTGAAGTGGGCAGGTTGATGAAAAGCTTTAAGAAATGTCATAACCTGTGTTGCTGTTGGGTGTACTTCCAATTGACCTTGCTGCTTGTTCACTGTGTGAGTTTAGGCTAGTTATTTAACTTGCCTGAACCTCAGTTACATCATCTCTAATATGGGATATTGGCCTCTACCAAATATCAATAGAAAAGATATGTTTTCTGTCCTAATTCCTAATTTCTGTACAGGTCCTAGTACATAGCAAATATTATGCAATAGTTTATCACATTGAATAGAGAAACAGAGAGAGGTAGTAAAGAAAAGGATTGAGAATGAGAATTGAGAAAAATGTTAAAATGCATTTTGAATATCTAGTCTTCCACAAAGGATATTGGGGAGGGGGATGGGTTAAAACCCATTTCTTGAATGGAATGCTTTGCCAAGATCAAATCATATTCAACTCCTATTCATTACAATTTCTCTGACCTTTAAATATGATCTTGATTAAATCCCAGGCTTATGAAAACAAAAACTAGTGTAGTGGCAAATAGAACTGGAAGCACTCTATTAAGTCAGAGGGAAGGAGTAAGAAAATAAAGATCAAGGGTTAAAGGATTTTCTACTAATCACTGAACTTGTTTCCCTCTTCTTACTGCAGATAAAACATCATTGAACAACATCAAGTATATGAATTCCAAGCCTATATGTTAAGAATTGAAATAATTCATTCAGAAAAAGATGAAGATGACTCAAAGTTTATTTGATCATCATTGAGAAGATCAAAGAAACTAATAGCATGTACTATGGTCTGACTCGTCAATGTTAGAGAAAAGCAAAAAATGACATTCAGTTAACCTACAATTGACTTTGAAATTTGATTCAGTATGTATGCATTAAGATGATATATTGGATATTCTGGTCATTTGTAATATTTAGTTAACTGAATATTTTTCCATTCTTGTGACTGTCTCTATATCATCAGGGGTCAGTCATCATAATAGATGTCACTTGATGTCTCTCATATATACAGTGTTTCATGCAGAATAGGGGATTCTCAGGATTGTTGAAGGAACTGGGGATTAGAATGGGGAGGTAGAGTCAGAAAAGCAGCCGCCAACATTTGGAGAGGCTGGCACTGAAGTTTCCAGCCTAGAGCACCAAATAGTTACCTTTCAGAAGCTTTCTTGGACCCGCTGCAATACTTGAGAATCTTTAAAACCTAACACCAGCTCTCTCGGGCAAAGTAGATCATTCTCAAAAATGTGCTAGGGAAGCCACTCTGAATCTTCCACCTATCCATTCACTTGGTGTAACACACCTGTGGAAAAATGGTGGTTTCCTCATCATCTCCATCTATAACTCTCCAGTAATTTCTTCTCATTGGCAAACTCTAACCTAGAGGAACACAGAGAAGCAGATCATGGGAAGAATTATGCTTTTTATACTCAGGAAGAAATGGAGTGGTGCTGTGGACCATCAGTGAGCTGACACAAGACATGCTGAGAATTCTTCATCTCCTTGTTTTTTACTATATTCCAGAGGTCAAAGCCACCGTTTTTCATTGGTAAAAAATATGATGTTTAGTTTTGTTTGTTATTTTTCCACTCCAGTCTTTTATTGATCTGACCTATATACCATTCCCAGGAAAGGGTAGAAGAAATAAAATTTTTTGGTTTTAAAATATTTACTTTCATTGTGTTTATGTGTGAAAAGAACCCCACATGTATGTGGTATGAATACCATGAGTGCTGTGGTTTGGACAAGTGCCCCGCAAAGGTCCAGGTGCTAAAAAGTTTGGCACTCAGCTTGGAGCTGTCAGGAAGTGGTGAAAACTTTAAAAGGCTGGGCCTGGTGGGAAGTCCTTGGGTGTTTGGGGTACACTCTCAAAGGGAATAATGGAACCTTGACCCCTTTCTCTTCCTCTCTTTCACTTTCTGGTCATGAGAGGAGCAGTTTTGTTGTGTCACACACTTCCATCACGATGGGCCACAGGCCCAGAACAACAGGGCAACAGATCATGGATGGAAACTTCCAAAACCCTGAGCCCAAATAAACGTTTGCTCAAGTTTATTAATCTCAAGTATTTGTTATAGTGACAGAAAGTTGAAAAGCAATTATTCATTTCAGTGTAGGAGTGGAGAGAGATGATCACAAAACCAAATCCCACAAATAGCAAAAGAAAATTTTCAAAGCCAGCCTCAGCAATTTAGCAAAGTTGTAAGCAATCTAGTGAAAACTTGTCTCTAAATTAAAATAAATAAATAAATAAATAAGGGGGGAGGGTGGGAATGTGGCTCAGTAGTTAAACACCCTTGGCTTCAATTCCTGGTGCAAAAACAAAAAACAAATTTGTAGTGGTGCTTAAGAAAAGCAAAATTACATTCCATAAATTGCTGAGAAGCAGCTAACGTCAACAGGGAATATACATATAATTGAAACTTGCTTCAGAGAAACAAGTAATTGCCAGTTAGTGAGAATTATATATCCTCCTTTTCTTGACTATTTCATATTTGAACTCAACCTTTTCAAACAATATTTTAACCATAACCATTTTAAATTATGTAAATTTATAAAATTCATTTTTTTTCTTTTAAACAGACTGAAAATTCCTAAGCCGTATGTAAACTATAAGATAAGACATGATTAGAATAAAATTACAACTAACTTTGCAAATGATCTTTTAAGGAATAGCATTCAGGGTCAAAATTAAAGAGATTTTAATTTATCATTTTATTTTTGTTGAAAGGTAGTTTTAAAGGATTCCTAAAGATAATATAAAATGTTTCATGATATTTTATCTTATGTTACCACAAATTCAGAAATACAAATTCAAAATAAGCATTCAAAACTTGATGTATATTTAAATTTAAAAGATCTTATAGAAAATATGAGTATAACAGAGGAAAAATGCTGTTGTCAATAAAAATTAATAATGTTTTAAAGTTAATAATTGGAAGTGAAATCACAGCTATGAAATTGGTTATAATTTGGGGGGTTTTTGGCACTGGAGGTTGAACTCAGGGGCACTCAACTACTGAGCCACATCCCAGCCCTATTTTGTATTTTATTTAGAGACAGGGTCTCACTGAGTTGCTTAGTGCCTCACCATTGCTGAAGCTGGCTTTGAACTTGCCATCCTCCTGCCTCAGCCTCCTGTGCTGCTGGGATTACAGGATAATTTTTACATTAAAATCTATGCCAACTTTTCTCAGTATGCAACATGGTAATTCCATCAGAACTCTTACTAAATTGATTTTTCATGTAATCTTTTATGACTAAAAAAGTGTAATTGTTCCAAGGTATATTATGAAGTACCTAAACTAATACATTAATTTTTTTCATAAACACTTCCTATATTCACACCAAGAATCCCAAGGTAAAACTAAAATATTAACCTATAGACTATCCATCTTATAATATGTTTAATGGACCTGTATATGTTAATAGTGAAGAAATGATACAGCTTTTTAAGTTTTATATAAAAACAACTTTTATGAATGTCAGTGTGTCAAGGAAATGAAAGTAATGTTTTAAAAATACAACGTAAGTTTAGAAATGCAAGTAATTTGAATTTTTTTGTTTATTTCTTGGTGATATTTTTTCCATCAATTAACTTAAAAGTATTTCATTTAAAAGCTAGAAAATACTTTGAAGATAATGAGTTGGGCAAAAGTTCTTTAAAATTTGTAATTTTCAAGGATTTATTTGCATTCAAATCATAGACCTTTTTTCACTTCTTTGTGCTTTTCCATGTTAACATGAAACAAAAGGTTTGCATTATCAACTATTCCTAAACTTCTTTTGACCTGCATAAAGAGCATCATTTCTCTAAACTTCAGAATATGCCTATTCTGAAATATCAAAATATCATTATTCTTTTTGATTGTATTATAAATTTATCTTAATTTTCATATTCACAAATTATGAAACTTATTGTACCTGTAACATACAAAATAAAATTTTAAATTTAAGATTAAAACTATTTGTGGACATTTGGGACTCACATAGATACATGGTATATAATATAACGAATTCAAAAAGCACCATTATAATTTATGTAATTGGTATTTATGTGCTAAAGTTCAAATCATGCATGTTGATATTAACTTAATTAATATGACATTCTGCCTTTTATGTCACTTAGTAATTTGTTTATTCCTCATGATAAACATGCCAGTTACTTCTAAAATGAGAATCTCCAGGTACAATTAAAATATCAATCAGTAGACTATCCATTTTATAATATGTTTAATGTATATGCTAACAGTAAAGAGGTGGTATGGCATGTCGGTTTATATGAGAACACACCTTATTAAGGCTCAAGTGAATGAGGAGTCCTAAATGAAGAGTCCTAAATGTTAACCCTAACCCTAACCCTAACAATAATTTAGGTAGGAGGAAACACAGGAAATGCATAAAATCTAAAAGAAGAAACACTGTACTATTATAAACTACAAAGAAGAAGTCTGTAGAAGTCAGAATTACAGGGTTCTATTCTTTAAAAAAAAAAAAAGAGAAAAAGTAGAGTCATCATTTGTTCATAGAAAGCAAAGTAGGAAATCTGAGTGGATATATTCATTGTTATGTACTAGGTAGTGCATAGTACAACATTTGATATTTTTACCTTCACCATTTGTAAATGGTACTAGAAATATCAATTCTTGTTTTCTTGGGGAAAAACTCACTCTGACAAAGTCTTCAAAACTGCATAAACTTAAAGAGATTTTCTGTTTTAAATATGGGAAACTCCCAGTATGTCACGGTTTCCAGAGCTTGGCTGTTGTGATGTTGAAA